GAAATTGTTTTTCAAAATTCTTTGTTTTTTTGTTTAAAATAATAGGCTAAGGCAAAAACGCCTTGTTTCCTATCCTCTGGGACACCCGCATTTTGGCGCCAAATTCAAAAAATTTGGGTGGCCCCCCCCCTTAAGGTAGCGCCAAAATTTCAGAAAAATAGCTTAAAAATGTGAAAATCCGTTGAGAAGCTTATAAAAAAAACTCAACAATGAAATTTTGAGACAAAAAACACATTGACGAAGTTTGGCCAAATTTAAACTCTAAAGTTTGGCGCAATTTTGTACGATGTTCAATAGAGCGACATTGCAAATCGCCCAGAAATTGGAAAAAAGCAAATTATCCCTAAAAAATTCGTTAGTTTTTATGAAGAAGCCATTTTCAGCTTGAGAAATACTGCAAAGATCGATTTTGTTGTTTTTCACTAACAAAATGTCTATAAAATGCAATACAGACACAGAAAAATCATTTACTATTCAGAAATCCAAACATCAACAATTTTTGATGAAACTTAATGAAATTGGATATAAATTGACAATGAATTGATAAGACAAGAATTTGAAAAAGAATGAAAAAAGAAATGTGAAAATTTATCAGGAAGTGAAAGCTTGAAAGTCGAAGGTTTGAAGTCGGAAGTCAGTTTGTCCAAGTAAATCCTTCTCTGCTGCCAGAAAGCTCAGCGTACGCTATCAATCGCTATTTCATTTTTTTTAAATTTGATTTGGGTCATTTGGTAAAAGGGGGACGTTCAGTGATAAACACCTAGCCATGAACCCCAAACAATGGCGACCTGAGGCCTTTTAGTACTTTTTTTACTTCAATGACTTTGATCAGTCTTCTAAAAAAGAAATAGCAATGAGTAGCGCATCCGAAGCTCCCTGACAGTTGCCAGCATCCAACTCTTTCCAGCATATGACATCCAACGTCGTCCTCCTTGCCGATCCTCCGCGAATCCCGGTGATCATCGTCAGTAGTCTTCGTAGAATTGATCGGATCCCATCCATCCCAGCTGCCCTGGAATCACGTTGCAAATCGGACTTCTCATCGACCCTTCGGTCCGACTTTTCGTTGATTTCTCCAGCTTATATAGCCCCTGTAGATCAGATTTAGAGATAAGATAAGAGAAAAAGTTCATGAAAGTTGTCAGCACGCGGAATTTCTGATCCTATTTTGTTATTTAAAAAAAATCAAAACGAAAATAGTAGATTCACGTCGGATTACTGTAGTTTTTGATTTACTATTAGATCAGAGTTTTGAAAACATGTGAACCTGCACTAGGGTCCAAGGCAACGGGTCCCAACGCGCCCCAAAAATTTTTAGGCCAGAAGGAATTTAATAATTTCAAAGTTGACGTGGATTTGACCTAATTTATTTTAATCAACGAGTTGCAACGCGTGCTATGGAAGAGAAACACCGGAGGCCGTGGCTAAAACCCCACAACGAGAACTACCGTAACCTAAGAACATTTATATGTTCCGGTTTGAATTTCCAACTTTCTTAATAGAATTGTTCTTCTGCTGTATCGCTGAAGTCTTATTATTCGAAGAGTTCTTCTATGGATCTGTATACAGAGTATGATGAAAACATTTATTTTATTCAATAAGGAACATATATTTCGAAGAACTGGTGGAATAGGGTTTAATTAAATCGGGAATAATGAAAGTTTAGATCTGGAATTGTGATTATGACAACTGAAATCGGATGATCATTTAGTGAAAATGATGAAAGTTCAAGAATTAGAAAAAGCTTCGTGCTTGTTCTCGCGGAAAGTCATCTGGTAGTTTGAAAGAAGCGGTGCGACGTGGCAGCACTGCGTTCGGATCTCTCTTAAGGACTTCTTCGTCGAAGGCGCAGTAGTCGATCGAGTTGAGTGGAGAGTAGCACCTGTAAAGGAAACTATTTTTTCTAAATAGGTATTTATTTCATTAACTCACAGGAAGAATGTGTTGTTAGTACAGGTCCCACAACAGTTACAACCAAGACAGGTTTCTCCATGATCGCAACGTCTCAACAAGGTTCCCATTCGATGTGCTCCAACTCTTTGACTGCGATTGCTGAGACTGGTTACTCGTGGGATTCGGAATGGCTTGTCTGGTTGACTCTTAACGATCACCCATTCTTCCATCTGCAAATTAGAAAAAAAAGACTTAAACGTTTGTCTTGCTAGAAACTAACCAGAATCTCCTCCGAGTCCACAATGCTTCCCATCATGAGAGCTGCGAGTAGAAGAACCTTGATCATCATTGAGAGGAAATCGAGTGGAGTATGATGAGCCGAACGTTTTTATACGGAACTTGTATACTCTATGTACCAAATTACCGTGCAGTTGGAGAAGAGTGTTGACGTTTCTGAAGCGGGGGACAAAGATCAGGGACACCTTATTGCAAGGAGCAAACAAGGGAATGAATGATTCTGGAAATGTATGTGACCTTTTAAAGGATGGATCGGAGCATGATAGGAGGAGTCAAGGAAGCCCCGCCTATTTTTGAGTTTTTGTAAAAAAAATGATGTCTAGTGGGCGGAGCAATACGCCAAAAGGTTTTTGCATTAAAAAAATCAGAAGAAGAGAGAAGAAAAATACAGCAGACTCGCTAAGAACGAGAAGATATAACTTTGCATCGTGAAGAAGTGATGTGAAGTAGAGGGAAATGAGAGTTTCCAACTTCTGTGGACCGAGGTTTGAAAAGTACTGGCAACCTGCTGTTTTTAATACAGTTGCAATTGAAAAAAGTTTGGAGCCAATTTTGATTAATGTCTGCAGACGTCAGGCGGTTGGAAGTGGATTTCATGATTGGGATACATGAGCGAGGGACTGAAACTGAATTTGTGGTTTGTAGCTAACATATCTGCTCGAAGTTTCCTGGTTTATGAATCGATATGTAAACGATATGGTTTTTCGTGGTTCCACCCATGTTTCAAATTACCGTAAATGTGCTAATAGGATCCGACCCCATACGTGCGCTTGGATCTCAATTCATGTAAACGATATCAAAAAAATTGCCAATTGACAAAGTATTATTGATATTGTCTATATACAGTTTTGCAGTTGACCAGTTTTTGAAGGCCAACACCGGAAAACTGTTGCTGACAAAGGTTTTAGAATCAGGGTGTATTCTTTCTTTCCCACGGGATCAAGAAGGCCTTCTTGGTATTTTTTTCAGGCCGGCCTTAGTTGAACCTGTTGATAATTTCGCGATTTTCAGAAGTTGAGTCGAAAAAAGCTTTGGTCATATTCCCCTGTCTATTATGATGAAGTGGATCCTACAACGCGGTATCTGAAACCACGGGACCAGGAAGGACGTGACTTTTCCGTTTGTATCTGTTTGCACCAGACATTGGCGAGTGTAGACTTGAAGCCATGGCTTCTGACGTTTCATCCGGTCGTCTCGGATCCTCCAATTTGTATTGTTAGTACTCTATTTGCGATTCAGTTTCGGATTGAAGAATGTACTTGTCTTAAAATTTCAACCAGTGCTCTTTCTGGATTTGGTACCTGGCGCGGACGTCTTCTGACGTTTAATCTGGACCGATGTATCCAACAATTTGTATTCCTGAAGCTCTTTCGGACGTTTCTTTCAGAGAACAAGAGTTTTAAAAGTTCATTTAGATCCAGGATATAGACTTATGTATGTATATGACTTCAGAGTAGTGCAAAGTGAAATGAGCTTCGGAAAGTTCTGGAAATTGCCTATCTTTCTCTGCATCTTTCCGATGTGTTTCTGAAATCGACGTTTTAGATATAAACTACATAGAATTATTGTGTATCTCAGTCACCTGATTTGTCTAGACGAGGATATATTGAAAGGTTCTTTTTTCAATTTTTCTTTTCAAATTCTCTCTTTCCGGAAAAATTAACAAATTTGATGAACTCGGAGTGACATCTACTTCGAAAGCAGATATCAAACATTTCGCTAATCGACCTTGACAAGGAGCTTCACTGAGCCCTAATCCATGAAGCATAAGATTCTCACGTCCAGAAAGATTCTCTTCCGAAACTATTGGAAAATATTTGAAAGAAAAAAGGTCGAACGGTAGAGTTTCCCGTCAGAAGTAACGGTTTAATAGCGACAATCCTGCAAATTTTGGAAAAAAACATCATCTTGTAGATATCATGACCGACTTTTCAATTTGTATCATTTTGAAGGATTCCGAGAATGGAAACCCACTGAAGAAATCATGATGTAGAGACACCTGACCTATGTTGTCTAGACTAGAAGATGTTGAAATCTATCTTTGGAATTTTAGCTCTTCCTGGAAACCTACTGATTTGATGAACTCGCTCTCACAGTCATGAATATACATACAGTTTATCGCAGGTTACATAAAATAAAAATAAATTTGGTATTACAAAAGTCTGGTTTAAAAAAATAGTTACCTAAGCAAGTAAAACCAGTGAACCTATATATTGTATTCTTTTGTTCAAATGCATGACTGCTCAAATAATATTCGACCCAAAGAACAACAACTCTCATAAACCATTTTTCTGGAATCTCAAGAATTCGTCAAAAGAAAAACCTGAAACTTGAAAACCAATAATTCAGGGTTGTTAACAGTACTGGAATACGGCCGGTGTCAATTCAACGATGGTCGTTCAAGACTTTGATGGGGTCTGGAATCGAGTTTGGGAGAGACTAACTCAAAATTTGGCCGACTTCATTTTTTCAATTTGTCCTTCTAGTCAACACTTTCAGCACTTTTGAAGCAAGTGAAATGTTGTATTTTTAGAGAAAAGTTTGATCGTTGAAGAAAATGATTGCAGAAAAATATGTAAATAAAGAAGCCCCTCTATTCCAGTTATCCGGAAGAAATCTGTTTTCATTGGTACGGAAGACAATTTAGAGTCATCTTTTTATCTCACATTTTCTGCACTGGATTTATTGAAAACGCTAAATCTTTATCCCCAAATTATATATTTCTGATTCTCACTGTAAACTACCGTAAAACCTGTATTAGAAGAGTCGGCCCTTCTATTTTTTCCAAGCCCCTCCCGGAGGGCCCGTCTACTAGAGGGCCCTTCTATTAAATATACCCTTCTAATAAGGTTTTACTTCCTGCAAACCAAATTCTGGTCCCTGTTTCCAAGATACTAAAATGAGGAATTTTTACTAAAAATAGTATATAGATACCGGAAAGCCTTTCAGTTCGTATTCGATCCGAGTGCAATTGAGAGTTTTCATGAAGCTTGTGACCGCATTGTCTCTTGTCATTAATCCCTCATTTTATATCTGAATTTATTGAAAGCAACAAATTTCGTCTGGAATTCAAAGGTTTGTACCCATTTGATCACAATTTTATCAGCAACAGCCAATCCTTCGCGAAGGGTGTAGACTGTTGGCGTCTGATATGGATTGTTTAGCCTACGAATTTGTATTGTTGAGATTATTATTTTTGATCCCTGCTTTTTTTTTCAATATCAAGATCCTTCTTGGGTTTTGGGACGATGGGTTTTATTTGTGGATTCCAAAGGAAGGAATAAAGTATGAATGCCAAATCAACAATTTTGTCCTGGTCAAAAACGTTTGGGAATAAATTTGGGTTGGCACCACACTGCACAGGGTAACAATAACAAGCACACAACATATGAGATATCGCGTTGGAGATTACGGAAAGAATAAATCAAGTTAGGCTTTTTAGGATAGAACCCGCATTCCTTTTTTAAAAATTTTTTTTACTTTGATTTAACATCTTCAAATGTTCCTTCAAGTATACTGAAGATACATTTCCATATTCTAAGAATTTACAAATTTTCAACTCTCTCAAGATCCCTAAATGTCAAAAACCAGGAAGTAATATCTCATAGTCAGCTTTACAGATCGTTTTTGTAGTTGTATACGAGCTGTCAATACGATTCGACCACAATGCAATAGCTCCTCCTCGACTACAGTATACCGCTCCTGTTCTCTTCAATCCAAATAATTGTACTCCCATCTCTCCCCCTTCCATTTCTCATATAGCTCACGAAATATCATATCTATAGCGAGAAATCTGTCAAATAAGTGCCGACTGATTGCAAACAAATCTCTCCTTTTTCTTTTTCTCGTTTCAATGATATCGTGTGAACTCAAACACTCTTCAGCTCCCGTGGGTGCATCACCCCCAAGCCACCGCCCGTTCCTCGATTCTACTCCTAAACTCATCTGTTTATATATCCCAATTTAATCGAAAATTTGTACATGCTTCTACCTTTTTCTGTGTCTCGCTATCTCGCACACTATCTCCTAATCGAAATACTTGAAAACCAATTTGGGAAAATTCAATGGAAACGGGGAAAAGGGGGAAGAAGAAGTTGAAAAACGAGAGGAGAAGAGGCGGATGAAGATGATGAGCCATTTCTTCAACGAAGTATTATCTGCCCCGGATTATTTGTCGTCTTCGAATGTGAGCATTCTTCATAGTTACCAGCCTACATACGAATACATCTTTACTAATCCCGTTTGGAGTGCAGAATTGTTGTGTCACAGATTCACATTTTCTCATTCAACGAGTGACTCAAATCCCGTCTACTTCCTAAATGAAAGATTTCAGACAGAGAGCATTTCTATTTCGGTTGCTAGTTTCTATATAATATTTCCTTTTGTCTCTGTGGAGGTTGGATTTTGTAATTTTTGGAGAATAAAATGGTTAGACGCTTTCCGATCCATTTTATATCAGAAATATTTTTTTTCTCGATTATAGCCACCGTAACAGCAAACTGAGTATCTTATTTGTTGGAATGAATTTTGTAAAAAATCTGTTAAGAACTTTATAGAACCTCTACAACTGTATTTTTCGCCGCTCTGTTCTTTTTTCAACCCAGAAAGCCGAACACTGTCTAGTGCGAAAATTCCAATAATTCATCAGTAAACTAGCCAAGTTTCCAATTATATGATTAACTTTGTGCTGAGTTATTGCTTGTCAAAGTTGCTTCATGTCATAAAAGACACAAAGACTTGCAAGAAATGTCGTTCATCTCTGGACAATCATAACAACACCTAGACTTGAGGAATCGCTTTGTAAAATTCAATAGCTTCGAATCAAACAAAAAATCATATTTCTACCATTTTTCGTGCTTGCAATATACGCATGCCTAAAGGTATACCCGTTTTTATCAGTCCGGGTAATTGGGCGCCATCATCTATTTTTCGGAGCCCCATACAAAGAATACCAAATACTTTGTTACGAATTAAAGGCAGTTTCTTCACCCTTAACTTCTATAATATTCTCTTATCCGCTCTCTTCCCCCAAAACGCCAATTTTCAATAGTATCATACAAAACTTGCAACTGTTGCTAATTTCCGGTGCCCTACACCACTTTTCGTCTTTCTCCCCCAATGTCCAACTCAATGAGCGTACACAACTCAATTTCAAACCAGATTGCTGCTCCAACGCTTCATTCGAAAAACACCGTTTTTGAAGAAAAAAAGAGTCCCCTCCTATTCATTTTTTTTGTTCTATACTACCAAGATGTCACACTCTGACTTCTTCTTCCATTTTTCATCGTTCCTCTTCTCCTTTATTCGCACATATCCCCATATTCAACCACTTCTTCTTCTTCCTCCGAATATCCCCACTTATCAATATCCTGCGTCTCCTTCTCCTAATCCAGTCGGTAGCTATAGTGATAAGTCTAGGTATGTGCATGGGCTCTTTTTCTCTGTTTTCTCCAGTCTTCTAGTTCTAATACCTCCACACCAAAAAAGAAGAAAAATGATGAGACGAAGAAGATGTGCGTGTGATAATTCTGTTAACACACATACATCCTGCTGCTACTGACCTAATCCATTAGCGAAGAGACATTCGTATTCAATGAGGCATTGGCTGCTGCAACTAATCACTTAATCAATGGTAGGTGTCTGAAGGCGCCACCCATTTTCCATGTTTGTTTAATTAGCCATCTGGATGTTTTTTGTTCACTTCTTCTACTTTTTTCTGATTGTATATAGTTTTGTACTTCTACAATGTCTGTGGGCTACTGATTCTAACTGGAAAGACAGAATGTGATTTTTTTATCGAACAAGTGGATAGAGAATATGTTTTAAACCCGAAACTTTGAAACCTAAAAACTTTTGTCTTCAAACAGATTACCGTAAAACCTATAAAAAATTAAAATAAGCCAAGAAAAATTAGCTCAAACTTGACAGTGTGGGAGCCCTTCTATTACAGGTTTTACGATCCCTAAAAATCCCGAGATTTTGGAAATTTCAATTCTTGAACAACCGTTCCAAACATCAGTGTATATTCTCCACCTTCGCTTTGATTTCCTTCCTTCCGGTCTTCTTCTTTTCTTCTTCACTACTAGACATCTCCTTCTCCTTCTCTTTCCTCTGATTCACCTGTCACATCATTTAATAATCAGGAGGAGACCACTGACGGTGCTCTTTTCAAACTTCCAAACCAATTTTACAGAGAGTTCAAATCAAAAAGAAGGTTTGTTTCCAAAAGTAAGCAGGATGTTTGTATTGCATCAATAATTAATTTGATTCTTTCGCTACACTTCTTTGTTTTCTTCTACTCGTCTCCTTCTACTCGTGTCTTCCTTCTGAAGCAATTTCGCTTCAAATCTATTCGAAAGATTTCTTGAGTTTTTCGAACATCACTCCTTCTTCTGCTCATTTGTTTTATTTTCTCTGTTTCATTCAGATTTTTTTCATTTTTGAACCTTTTTCAGACGACTATGGCGGCTATTGTACCAAATTCGTTCGTCCGGATGTATAGTCTCAAGGTAAGTATCCCTTGAAAAATATGCTCAGAAGAGGTCCAACAAACTAAAAATTCCTAGAGCAGCTGGCCCTAAATCTTTATATTCCGGAAATTAATAGGTGCAGATTTTCCAGGTTATTTAAAAATCACCTGCGTTTTGGACTATGTTTTGGACTAAATATTCTAGTGTTTTGAACTTTTTGGCACCCACATTTTTGAGTTTGGCGTCATTTTGATTCGCAGCTGTAGGAGATCAAGGTGTTTCGGTCTAAAGTTGAGATGGCCAACTTGGTGCATCGAACTTCAGTTGTCACCGATTTTCCGAATTTTTCAAGCTCAAAATTAATTTTCAGCCTGATTCATCAAGGTTTTCAGATTCAGCACAAAAGACCAATTTGACATTTTTGGCTCAACTGGGTGATTAATTTTAAACAAAAAGCTACGAATTCTGTAAAAAATCCAGTTTGAAAAATGATGAAAATCCTCGAAATTCTCATTTTTTGCTGAAATGCCTGAGTTTTTTTCTAAATACTGGCTTAGGCTGTAGCACCGGAAAAACTGTAAATAAAACAAAAAATATTTTAAAAAATTCGTTCTAAAAGTAACCAGAAAAATATCGCGAGATCTTCAACTGATCTGACTATCGCGAAATCTTCAACTGATCTGACTTGTGTCGTATCTTGGGCAAGGATTGAACTATCTTCCCTTAATTGCAAAGTTGCAATTCTATGCGATGATCCAATCCGCCGTAAGATGGGTCATGAAGAATGATTGTTCAAAGAAGAAAAATGTATACTAAAACAGGGGAAAAGAGAAAGAAAAGTTTCTTCCAAATATGATTCGAAAAAAGAAACAACCATGACTGTATATGTTTTCTGATGAAAACGTCTTCTTCTGATGATTCAGACGTTCTTTTTTGTCTCCTTCTTTCTTTTATTCCTCTTCTCCAGGTCAGCCGTCCTTTTTTCCTAACCCTCCTTCTTCTACCCACATTCTTTACCCTCTTCTTCTTCTTCTTCTTCTCCTTCTTCTTCTTTCCACTTCTTATGCTCCATCGGTTGAGAGGATCGGCGACGGCGGCGGCTCCGTCGTCTTCGGTTTATTGGCCCGCCCGACATCTGGTAGTTTCATATTTTTTGAGAGCCCAGATCGACTCCAAGTGGTGTATTGAATGCAAAACCTCATTCTTGTTCTTTTTCTTTTCGCTTTCCCGAGTCCATTGCCCCTGTGGATTTATAATGTTTATTGTGACACATGTACCCAGGGAAAACGGAATTCTGATGTGCATCGCCATCTCATTTTTTAAAGCAAAAAAAGTAAGAAAAGGTTGCTTTGAGCTGTGTCAAATGCCCTTTTGACACTCCTTCACAAACTTTTGTGTCGTCCGTTTTTATTTGCTTCTGTTCTGCGCGGGAGCCCTTCCCCGACGATCCTGCGTCTCAACTCTTCAATTCACACAGTTTCCTTTCCCACCCGAGAACAATCAGTTTTCTGTATTGCTTTCGCAAATAATTGAGACTTTCTCGGAGGGTCGGCAGGAGCAACAAGAAGAAGAAGACCATCGAAAACTTTCGCGATTCTTCTTCTCTAAATCTCCTAACCATCCATTTTCTATATACTTGTCTTTTGTACTTTTACCCGTTTCCGCAATATAAAAAAGTCCAAAAATTAACCTATTCAGATGATCTAGAAGTATCCGATTGGTACCGGAGTGTACAAGTTTATCACCTAGAAACCACTTAATCCACATGACCAAGGTAAGGAAAAGAGATACTGCTTCTTGTCCTTTTTTGCTTTTTTCAAGAAGAAGAAGCAGAAAAAAAGGAAGAAGACCCTCATCTCATTTGTGAGTAAAATAAGATACCTTTTTGGACTGGCCAGTCTCTAGGGGCTACTGAAGACGTTGAGTGGGATTGCGTAGGTTCAGAAGAAATAGTATGGAAAGAGGTGGAGACGAAGAAACATTCGAGAAAGCTTTGACTAAATTAGTGCGCGAACCTTACTGACTCAAGATCTGATATACATTCTTCCTTTCGGTTTCTTTCCTAGTTTCATTTATTCTACCTTCAGAGGAACTAGGCAAGAATTATTTTGAAAAAAATTAACAATTCTGAAATTCTAACATTTCTAACATTTCAAAACTGCTCAATACTGTTTTGCTATGAAAAAAAAATTTTAATTAAAATATTGAATTTTCGTTTTTTAAAGAATCTATAACTACATCTGAATTCATAAGAATTCAATCCATAAAAAAACATAAACGATTCATGTATGATTTTTTTCTACCAATAAAAACAAAAATGAAGCTGCATCCATAACATCTACAGTATCCACCTTCTTTTATGATGTGAACACTTCCTATACACATTCGTTTTATTATCTATCTATTCCGACCTCAAATAGTCTAAAATATACCTCTCAAAATGGTTGACACTTACTCTGGTATCCCATTGATAGTAACTAGACATTCCAAGGTATTTTTCATAGAAGCCCTTTCCTTCTGTAAAGCCATCTTTCGAGCTTTCCCCCCATGCTCACCCCGATAATTAGCATAGTAAGAATAGTTAATGCCCTCAAACACGCGAGGTGTTAGAAGGCGATGACCGCAATTTCCGAATAGCAGTGACCATTTTTCAGAGAGCAAAACAGCTTAGAGTATTCATTGATTACTACTACAATTCCCTATTTCCTTGTTTCTGTTTCAGCGCGGCCCAGATGATTTGCAACTGTCACTGAGGAACGGTGGAGCAGCAGCAACGGCAGCGGTAACGAGTGCCGGTGCACCAGGAGCTGGATACTTTGCCAACGTCATGACTGCAGATTCGGAACCGAAGAAGGCCAAATTGGATCCATCGTTGTATTCGTCGCAGTTCTACACAACTCCACTCCATCATGGATTGGCGACGTCTGGTGCTCCGGTAGCAGTGGCTCCAGCAGCTACTACGGCTCAGCTTCTCACTGGAAACCCGATTACTCAGATTCAGGTGAGTTATGATTTTTCTTAATTTTGAAATTTCAAAATTGTTTCCAAAATTAGGCAAATTAATCAAAAACGATTCCTCGTAACTACAATTATCGAAAGCTTTTCCATTATAAAAGTTCTCTAGTCCCTATTTATTGGAAATTCCAATGTTTCGACCTAACAATATTGAACTTTGACTATTTTCAGCTTTTATGTACATGGTGGCGCGCAATTACCCTCACAAATTTTGAGTAAAACGTTGTACTGAGCTCAAATTTAGAGTGCGAAAATTGAAAAAGTTTATCAGTAAACTGACAAAGTTTCAAAACATTAGATCAACTTTGAGCTGATAGTAAGTTATCGCTTTTCAAAGCTGAAAAAAAACAACAGCACACAAGAAACATTACAGCGTACATCTTTGGACAATCATAACAATACCTAGACTTGAGGAATCGCTATGAAAATTTCTGTAGCTTTGAATCAAAATTATATTTCTACCGATTTTCTTGCTTCCAGAGTACTTATGTTTGAAGATATACCCATTTTTATCAGTACGGAGAATTCCTCTCTAATGCATTTTAAGACTTTATATCACATGTAATTTCCTGCCTTCCTAAAACTTAAATTCTAGCTTAGCAAATGATATGAGTCATGGAGAATTGTCGTGGCTTCTTTGGACATCGTCGTCCGAAAACAAACATTGACGATTTTAATTTGCAGGGAATCCAGCTCTCGACGCTGCCTCAATGCAACCAAACGTCTTCCGCCACCACAACTCCAGTGTCCAGGGTTAGCCAATTTCGGCTCTTCTGGAGAAAAAGTCCATCATCATCGAATTCTTCATTTCAGGTTGTCCACGTCCGCAACATTCCACCTGACCTAGTGGACGTAGAGCTCATGCAGTTGTGCATTCAATACGGGCCAGTTTCAAACTACATGATGCTAAAGGGGAAAAGCCAGGTGAGCCAGAAGAGGGAGTAGGAGGTGTCCGCATGTTTTATCAACTCGTTTCTCGCCGTTTTCTCTTCATCTTTTCTTCCTCTTGTCCCCGAAAATCTCTCGTTGTCATGCCATTTTATATCAAATCTTTGAAGGCGTTCGTGGAGTACGAGGAGGAGACAAGTGCCGCTGCATTTGTTACCGGAATGACTGCAGTTCCAATTCAGGTGAGTTCGGATATATTATTCTTTTTTGTCTCTAATACATTTTTGTTCTAAACTCATGTGAGTACATCTGAAAACTTTTCAATATATAGTAGTCGTTTAAAGCATCATTAATGCAAACTCATGGCTCAAAAATCAAATTCCGATCTCAAAATCTTGAGAAGCAGCCCTGTGATTCAAACCAATCTCTCAAAATGTGTTTTCTAATTCAGAAAGGATATTTTGAAGGTTTTTTGATTTGTATAAAAAATGAAATTTAACTTTATGTAGCTCGAAAAAAGTTCGAATACCGTAAACACTCTAATAGACCGCAATCCCTAATGTTCTAACTATGAGAAAATTTATCTCACTTCCTGTGAAAGATATCAATAAGTAATCAACTGTCAAAACATCGGATAAAAGTTTTGTCAGTTTACCAGCATATCTTTTGAAGGAAATATTGACTCAATGTAGATTGTTTGGGTGGCGTTCTATTAGTGAATTAACGGTAGATTAGGAATCGAAGTGGGCTTTAACATCACTACTTCTCAAAAAAAATCTATTAACTACATAAAGTACTAATTTGAAAATCGACATTTTCAGATTCGGGGTAGGACACTCTTTGCTCAGTACAGTACTCATCGGGAGCTCAAGTTTGACAAGAGTAACAAGGCCACCAGTGATACGGAGGTTAGTTTAGTAAAACTTTTTAAATGCATATTGTCCTTGGGAAAACTTCTCAAAAAATCCAAAATCTATGGGTCTTTTGATCTTTGAAACAAGGTCCATATTTTGTCATCTTCCCCCAAATCAATTGTAGTAGTTTAAAATATTTTTAACCAGAACAAGCGTCGAAAATCTCTTTAGGACTACAAATGTGGGAAAACGGAAATCCGAGAGGACTGAAACCCTAGTTGTCCACTTCATTCCTCCTTTCGTCCAGTTCTGAATTTTTTGACCTCTATCAATAATTCAGGTTTTATTTGTGTTCTCGAAATTCAGAATTCCCTTTCATTTCTGTGGGTTAGTACCCTGTTCGTTTCTTCTCAACGTGTCACATTCACTCGGCAATATTGCTCCAATTTATTTCAAAGAAGAGGAGGAGGAGAGCCACATCTGGTTATAATCATTTAAATGTTTCGCGCATCCTTCTCTCTTCGCTTTCCTCAGAATTCATCCCGTTTTCAGCCAGTCTCTTTTCTTTAATCCTCTTCACAAGGTCAATCTCTCATTCTCTCTCATTTCGTTCGCGCATTTTATAAAATTGCCTGCTCGATGCAAAACGATGGCGTGCGGAGACGAAGAGCGGGGAGAGTCCGTGAATTGAAATTAATTCCATTAGGGGCGAATTCGGACGAGTGCTCTAGAAGAAAAAGAGAAAAAATGAAATTGATGGATTGGAAAAACAACATAACATACTTCTAAATTATTGAAAATTAAATTCAGTATTTACCGGAATATCTGTGCAGCACTCAAAGAAAAGCTCCTGTCTTAAAACTCTAGTTTACCTGGGAAACTTTGGAAAGTACATTGGCTTTTTGAAATTCTTCGAATTCTTTGAATTTTTTTGAATTCTTTAAAGCTGGAAAACTCGAATTTTATAATTATTATTCTGAGCTGAAAATTTCGATTTTTAGGGATTTTTTCTAGCTGAAAATTTTTGTATTTTTAAATGATTTTTTAAAGCTGAAAACTCCAAATTTTTAGGAAGTAATAATTTCCTCTCATCGAATTTCCAAAAAATCGAAGTTTAACAAGATAAAAATTTAAAGATTTGAAGTTGAGGTTTATTCTAGGAAGCCATTCAACTTAATCTTCCGTTTGAAGAATTTCAGAATTTTTTCAAAAATTTTCACATTGCTGATTTCTTGTCTTTGCAGAGTTCTGAAGTGTTAACTTCAGAATTTCAGAAAATTTTGTCAAAATTTTTCAAAATGAAAAATTTGAGTTTGAATTGAACCGTAAACCTGTTATAGAAGAGCCCTGTCAAATTTGATCTCAATCATCTCAGCTTCTATAAGAGAAATTGAAATTGTGTCAACTGATAAAATGTTTGTGATATCATCAGTTGGCAACTTTCCAATATCTTTCACAGGAACCGATATAAATCGCCACAAAGAAAAATGTTAGGGCCCATTTTATTACAGGTTTTACGGTAACTTTATGTTTTCTCAAATCAATCTTTCTAAATTGAATAGATCAAAACATTTTTGAATGCACTTCCATGCAAATTCTCCCATGGAATTCTCGATCCTAGATTTTATGAATTCCTCTCCAGAAAAAAGAACTTCGATTCCCAATATTGTCCTCCATCAATTCGAGAGATGCAGCAGTTCAGTCGACCGAACCCATCGATAAAAAAGTTATGGTTCTTATTCTTCTCCTTCTTTTTCTTCCCCTCCTTCCATTTTCATTTCACTCAAATAAATGGAAGATGCAGCTGGTTTCGCTTTTCTCACTTCGTCATCTCTTCTTCTTCTTCTTCTTCTTGACCCGGGCGGTCCCATATTGAGACACCGCAAAACGAATCGAATGCTCAAGCTGAGCCCCCGTGCTGCTCCTCCTTCTATTTTCGATCCCATTCCTCTTCATGTTCTTAATTACAAATAGCTGCTCTTCTCTCATTGGATAGTAGTCCATCCTTTTCTCCTATTCCAAATATATCCTGTCTTCTGGCGCCCCCATTCCTAGTCAAGCCAATATGCTTCTTCTTCTTCTTTTGCCTTTTTTCTTTTTTACTTCTTCTTCTCCTCCCTTATTCCGTCACACATTAATTAAAGGATTTTTGAAATGCTGCTCACGAACCAAACCCGGCTATTTGTCGTTGCCGGTGGCCTCCGCTTTTTTAGGTTTTTAGTAAATGTACACAGAAAAAGTAACATAGAAAAAAAGAAGCTGAGAATCTGATTAGAGATATTGACGTATTTTCGGATTGACCTGGTTTGGGTCTGATAAGACTCTAAACTTCAAGCATAGTCTGATCAGTAAAATCTGATTAGGGATTAGCCTGGTTTGTGTCTTTTCAAGCCAGATTTAAACTGCAAGCATAGTCAAAAACTTTAAAGAAAGTATTGAAAAACTTTATGATGTCCAATGTCTAAAGTTGTTTAGATTGTTAATTTCAAAAGTCTTGGTAGGTCAGCTCTGAAACTGTTTTTAATTCTTGGAATAGTATTAGAGTTTAGATCAATAGAAAAGTTTATATTGGAAATAGATGGTTCGAATTCAATTTCTGTTTTGAAAACTGTCAATATTTTTATAAATAAATGTGCAATGAGTTCCCAGCTTATGAGATCCCAGCTCAAAAACTTGTACTCTCAGCTAGAAAATATTACCTAATGGAAGCCCAGCCTATATATAAATGTACTTTGACCTTGATTATCTCGGTTATTTTAAAAGATATTAAAAATAGGTCAACTGATAAAATGTTTATAATGCTATCACCAACATTTTATTAGCACATCAATTTTTGATATCTTTCAGAACAACCAAGATAATCGAGCTTAAAATGTACGTGTAGGGCGTCCTTTTATTAGAGTGTGTCACAAACTGGTATTTCAGCTGGAAAATATTACATTATTCAAACTTCAATGTTAAATTTTGGAGATAATATTCGAAATTTCCTAAAGAATCTAAGCCATTTTTAGCCTGTTTCAGGTTTCTGCCATCTTTTCTAGGACTGTATTTCGATTTACACTATCGTAATGCTTTGATTCGATTAGAGCCTCCCTGTGCAGTCAAAATCGAACTAATTCGTTGTTCAATTTCATTTCTAAATTTGTGTATATTTGGGTGCCACCACAGAATCTTCTTGATTATTTTTGTTATTTCATTCTCCGTTTTCTCCTCTTTTTATGCTCCCGTATTCATTGCTGTTCACGCCTGCATCTTCCTCCACACCCATATTTAAATTGTAATTTCTCTTATTTTTCTTTGCATTCTTCTTAATTATGACTCTAGGGGCGAAAGGGTCCATTATTATTATCTGGAGTCAACAATATTCATTTCTTCCCATTCGTTCGTCCCTCTTAAATGTATGGAGACCTCTCTGAAAATTGGGAAAAAGTCATGTCAGTCTCTTCGACTTCTATATCTCTCCCATTTCACAAATAAGCTTCGTCTGACTAGCTGAGAAACGAGAGCATCTCTCGCTTCGTTAATTATTCGCTTTCTTTTATATATATATATATATGTGCATGTACATATATGTTTATTAGAGAGAGAGAGAGAGAAAGATGAGTCCTTCTTACTTCATGACGGATTCTTTTCAATATGATTCTCTCCTTTGTGCACTTTCCATCAAACTTTTGAGAAATGTAGGCATCATGCAGAGACCATTTGTATTAATTAAGATGTTTCTTTGTATAATTCGAGTTCCCAGAATAAAGAAAACATATACAGTACCGGTATTTTTCAGTTGATTTTTGACCATTTTCAGAAGTCTGGAGCTCGGCTGTCAAATTTTCGATCACTTTGAAAATTTTGGAGGGCATAAAACAGACCTAGATTAAAAATTTTGAGTTCACAGAACTTTTTGAAAATTCCTAGTTTTTCAGCTATTTGCCAGCTTCTGAAACACACCTGTTGAGTTCCATTTCCCGTACAAAAACGGGCGCCCTTCAGAATTCGGCAAATAGCTGAAAAACTAGCAAATTTCAAAAAATTCTGCGAATGCAAAGTTTTTCATCTAGGTCTGTTTCACATCTTCAAAACTTTTCAAAATGTTCGGAAACTTAACTGCCGAGCTCCAGACTCCTGAAAATGATCAAAATTGCCCAAAATTAATTGAAAAACTCAACTGTATCTTATTGACCCTCACTGAATTTCCATCTTGTTCGTATGTAGACTCGTTGCTATAAATCTATGAATTCTTTGAATACAGTAGTCTGAATTGATCTATTCCGGCGAACCCTGGAAATTGATCTATATCAGGATTTCATTCTCAGAATCTACAAATTCCTGTGCGCTGGAGTTTCAACCTTGTCTGATAGACATAATCCGGTTAGACTGAGCCTTTCAATGATCTTTTAGCATTCCTCTCTCGGCTTCTAATTCAAATATCCCGAATTTCCGTTCTTATATTATTCCATGCTTAAATCAGTGCGGAAATCCGAAACATGAGGTCGTCATCATCTCCTGCATCGCTCTTCATCTCTCATTTCTTCTTCTCCATCAGCTTCTTCTTCTTCTTCATCGGCTTCTTTTGCCCTCAAATCGTCAATCCGTCGTGTCTTCCACTTCATTAGTCAGTTGAAAAAAAAAACTAAACTGGCTCATCTCGTCCCCCCCTATTCCAAAAACAAGCTTCTCTCTTGAAATTTGAATAAGTGCTCCTTCTCACTCTCTTCCTTTTTCTCGTAATTCTTGTCTACTCAATTTCTCTCCTCTTTTCTGGTTTCTTTATTTTTTGGTATGTGTCGCCGTGGGGTTCGAGCCACCACTCCTTTGCATTTCAATTCGACACCACATTTACAATTTTTATTCATCCCAATGTTCCTTCTTCTTATTCTGCTGCTACTGCTTTAGACCGTGACCCCTATTTGTGGAATTAAATTTATTGAATTGACTTGGGAGAAGGGCGGAGCTCCCTAGGAAGCTCTGGCCAGCCGAAAGAAGTTTTCAGCTGTCCCTGTTTTCAGGTGAAGATTTTAGAATTTAACGCCTCCATGTTTTACTGACAACGTCATCTTCTCCCGTCCAATTGTCTTCTCATTTCACGCTTTCGTGCACTTCAATCTGTGTGTCTCCAATTAGAATTATCTATTCGATTTTTGTGTCCTCAAAGGACAGTTACATTCTCTCATTCACAGTGATAATTTTCTGGGTCACCACGGGAGTTTTTTGTGGCGACTTTGAGGAGGTAGTAACCTATATCATTGAACGAAATTACAGTCTTCTGTACAACAAAAGACTCAAAAAGCGGTTGCGGAGAAGAGAGAGAGAGAGAGAGAGAGAGAGAGAGAGAGAGAGAGAGAGAGAGAGAGAGAGAGAGAGAGAGAGAGAGAGAGAGAGAGCAGGAGGAACACACGCAGATTAACGGGTTTCAAGGGAAACGAAACCAATGAATATCGTCCTAGTAAAAGTTTCATCCGCTTTCTTGACACGCATCCGTGCGTTTAATAATCATTCATGTAGTCCTTTTGTTTGGTTGGTTGTCACTGTTTCTAAAATTGTTGTTTCGCATTATCTGGAATTTTTGTCTGGGATTCAGATTCTTAGAACTACTATAGGAAGGTTTCTCATAAACTCAACCTTCCAATTTTTTCAATGACCACAGCCAAAAAAGTTCAACCAGACAGACATCCTGATCTATGAAAAGGTTATGTTCCTATTTTTTGATTTTAAAAATAACAGTTAGATGCTTTCGATGAAAATGTTCTAAAAAACTAAACGATTAGTTAAATTTTTTTTGAATATTTGACCAATAATAGTCTCTACGAGCCTTCTGATGGACGGATCCAAACTGGAATTTTCTGAATCTTCCGATCAAAATTCATTGTGATTTTCAAAACTTCAACCAATAGTCTTCTGATCCTTCTTTCCTCTTGAAAAAACTGAATCCCCAATCCTCAAATTCAAAAATAATAGTAGTATTTACCGTAGTCGGTTCTCACTTTTCTTCACATTCTCTACGCTGAATATCTTCTGCTTCTGAAGATATTTTGTCGCCCTTCTCGCTTCTTTTCTCCAATTGCTAATTAATATAAATTGAGCCCGGGGCACAGCTCGAGCTCCCCTATGCTATGAGCTTCTAGTACCCGCCTCTTCTTCGTACCCGGCTTCTTCTACTCATCCTATTTCTTCTTTTTTCTCATTTTGGATAAACGAATAAAAATAAAACCGAAATGTCAACACATGCACATACGGCTGAGAAACTCATTTCGTGCGGCTATAATTTCCGATTACACCTTTTCTTTCTTCATGTTTTCACCTGTTCCCATCCAATTCTCTGTTTACCAAGCCAAAGTTATCATTATCTTACTCTGCTGTTAATTTCATTCTACTATACGAATTGAGATAAAGAACTCCTTTGGGCCTTCTGTTTTCAGAATCTCTTTGTTTTGAATTTTAGGTAGACGAGATAGATGTAAATCTAACACTGAGCAGTGAAGTTTAGTTTTGTCAAAATGTGTCAAAAGCCGATTTTATACTCAATACAGGAAACAATGGAATTGCTATAAATGCTCTAAAAGAAGCCCAGCCTGTTTGTACGCTTTGAGCTTAATTATCTCTGTTGCCATGAGAGATATTAAAATTTGCTAAAATAATAAAATATTGGCGATAATAAGATGAACATTGTATTAGTTGACAACTTTTTGATTTTCTTTGAAGCAACCAAGATGATTAAGCTCAAAGTGTGCGTATAAGTTGGGCTACTATTAGCGCATTCATGGTTGGTTCGTTTTTGATGTTTCGTCTATACCAGTCGCTGTTCTACCAACTTGTTTGTTGAGTTTTTGACTATAGAATCTTTAATGATTTTCCAAAAAAAAGGAACAATTTCACAGTATCCCTCCCTATCGTACCAGACGAGCCACCAGATGGCTGACCTTTTTACAATTTTTTTTGTCCATTTTCGTTGGCACTTTTTTTCCTCTGTGATGCAGCTGGCAATGGTACTGGTCTCCCGAACATCTGTCAATCTTCCCAAATTCTCTGTTTTACAAAGTATCGAATGTTCCTCTCGGTTTTGTGTTAAACTGGATGAATCATGGGCGGTATTGGAAGAAAGAAAATATAGTTGTGAGCCAAAGTGTTTTCAATCGTGAGATCCTGAACATTTTCTCAATGAACTTTCTTCAATTTCACTTCACCTCCCTCTCCTTTCCATCAGTCCATTCCATTTGATAATCTAATCCAATTAGTGTAGTTTTTCAAAACTCAACGCCACCTTCCCAACCACAAGACCGCCAGAATACACTCATTCTCTTCATTTTTGACATATTCTGCCCTGGTAATCCTTCTGTTTTCTGTAAACCATCAACATCGTCTACTATCTATCCTCTAGTTGTGTACAGTGCAAACACGCAACACATATTCCCTTAGCTTTCGAGCCTTCCAGTCTATCAGCGCGAGGGGTGAGAGAGAAAAAAGGGAGGAAAAAATAATAAAAAAGAATTTATTGTATTTTATCATCATCCTCCCCCTTCTCTCCCTCCACTTTGCCTTCCCCTTCTTCCCATTCTGCTCCCATTTCCCTTCGATTCGTTCCCATTCACATAATCGATTTGACTGAAACAAACACAATCAAATGCCCACTTCTTCTTCTAAACCGTCTATTATTCCTAATCCGTTATCCCGTAAACGTCGTGATGATGATGTTGATGTGAATTCAAAATACAGTACGACGAAGCGACTGGCGTTTTGCGAGCCACAGTTGGCTACGGGTGCGTCGTCTCATCACGTGCTTCTAGCCACGACGACGCCTCTGCCTGCAGCCACTGCCACGTCATCACTTCAACCACCGATCAAGCAACGAAGAATGGCAGCATCACAAGTACTTACCTCCGATCATCCGTATCATAAACACGATGCTGTGTTCCGTGCTCCAGTCAATAATGACGCCAATAGAGCAGCTGTTAAAGCGAGTATTCTGATTTAGACATTGGGGGATCATAGGGCGGGGGTCAAATATCATAAGGACATTTGTGTTTTTGAATTAGGAATCAGTAATCCATTGTTCTTTAAAACCCGAAAACCCTGGGGACAATAGGAATAACCAAAAAATAATTTTTATTGAATCCACTGATTTTCAGAGTGTTGCCAATGGATCTGTTTCGAACTTCGAGGTCGGCACTCAACAACAACCAAACAGTGTCCTTCGAACCATCATCGAAAACATGATGTTTCCAGTGAGCCTTGAAGTGCTTCACCAGCTCTTCGCTCGTTACGGAAAGGTGCTCCGAATTATCACTTTCAACAAAAATAGTGAGTTTTCCGACTTCTAAAATTTTCAAAATTCAAGATTTTCAGACACTTTTCAAGCACTGATCCAGATGAGTGAGGCGAACTCGGCACAGCTGGCCAAACAGGGCCTCGAGAACCAAAACGTCTACAACGGATGCTGCACTTTGCGCATTGACTACAGTAAGCTGAGCACTCTGAATGTCAAGTACAACAACGATAAGTCTCGTGACTACACAAATCCAAACTTGCCACCAGGAGAGATGACTCTGGAACAACAAATCGCAATCAGTAGTTAGATTTGATACGTGGATTGAAACTAATTTACGGTAATTCCAGCTATCCCAGGACTTCAGAATCTGATTCCAACCAATCCGTACAACTTCGCATTCGGTGCCAATCCAGCTACAACGTTCCTGACAAATCAGCTTGCTACTGCAACAGCTGCAGCATCTGGTATGATCTTTTTCATATTATTCAGAAGATAAACTTTTTTTCAGATTCTGCAAATGCTGCTGCATTGGCTCCATACTTGAATCCTTTAGGATTGGGATCTGCCAACTTGGCAACTTCAATTCCAGCTATGCGATTCCCAATGCTCAATCTGACTCCGGTCATTCTGGTTTCCAATCTTCACGAAATGGTACGCCCTTTTTTTATGAATTTATTAGGAGTCCTATTGTTACATTTTGTTAGGTTAAGGGTCAAATACAGTACTCCTTCGCATCCCCCCTTTTGGCATGACTTGATTTCTAGCCATCAGCTACTACTACTACTAAACCAAAAAAACCAAAAAATGAAAAGTTTGCTCTCTATCTATTTTTACGTTTCGAAGGCACAAGCACTCTCTCTCTCTTCTTTTTATGGCTATCTCCATTTTAACCAGTTCGTTTTTATTAATATTTTTTATCGCCTAATCACCTAGATATACAAGCCAGCCAACTGTTAACCACTACTATACCATCTTCCTTCCTCTCTCTCTCTCTCTTTTCTAATCTATCCTGTTTTATTTTCAGAAAGTCACCACGGATGCCCTCTTCACCCTTTTTGGTATGTTTCCTTTTCTTTTCTCTACCCTCACCTGTCCCAATGGTATCGCTCTCTTATTTTCTCTCTTTTATTTTCAAACCTATCAATTATTTTATCATTTTCGTTTCGTTCTTCTTTCCGTGTATACTGCTCGAGAGTATATGATTTTTGGTTGCCTAAACACGCTATTGTGAAAAACAGAGAAAATTTATTCAAAAAATTAGGATGATCCAATTCTAAGATCCGAGAATGAGTTGAAGACAAGTCAATCGATTTCAGGGGTCTACGGAGATGTGATGAGAGTCAAAATTCTCTATAACAAGAAGGACAATGCGTTGATTCAGTATTCGGAACCGCAACAAGCACAGCTAGGTGAGCAAATTTAGCCAAATCGGTTTTTCAAGTAATTTTTATATTTCCAGCTTTGACACACCTGGATAAGGTGAAGTGGCATGATCGTCTGATCCGTGTGGCTCCATCGAAGCACACAAATGTTCAAATGCCAAAAGAAGGACAGCCGGATGCAGGTCTCACCCGTGACTACGCCCACTCGACACTTCATCGTTTCAAGAAGCCAGGATCCAAAAACTATCTGAACATCTATCCACCATGTGCCACTCTTCATCTCTCCAACATTCCAGCTACAGTAAGCGAAGATAAGCTGAAAGAAATGTTCTTGGAGGCTGGGTATGCTGTCAAGGCTTTCAAATTCTTCCCGTGAGTGATAACAAAAGAATGTCAGGAATAAACTTTATGTTTCAGAAAAGATCATAAAATGGCTTTGTGCCAATTGGAAGACATCGAGACAGCCATCGATGCACTCATCAAAATGCACAATCATAAGCTAGCTGAAAATGCTCATCTGCGTGTTTCCTTCTCCAAATCCGGCATCTAGTCATCGTTCCCCATTTTCCTCTAAAATTCCGGTTTTTAATGTTCCATTCCCCCCTTTATCAAAGTTCTTCCTTCTCATCCAGTGTATCCCAAATGCAACATCTTTTTCATGATTTTTTCAAAAAATTATGTTCTTTTTCCCATCCATCTTTTTTTTCCAAGAAGATACATATCTCCGGATGTATAGAACCTTTCTCCCACCCCACACCATTTTTTTCGTTCAAATTGACCCATCACCCACCAAATCGCTTTAAACTCCCTGTCTCTTAAAACTTTTTCCCCATTTTCAGATACCAAAAACGCTTTTGTTTTCTCATAATTGTAATGATTGTCTGTGATATCTGAAGAAGAGTCTATGGCATTAATTATAGACTATTTTATTAAACTATTCATCCCGTTTTTCATCGATTGTAGTCACATTCATTTTCTCTCCCGATTTCTATGACACCAAATACGACACTTTTTTAAAACTGAAAATTTCCACAATTTTCTCTTGTAACGGTCTGCATTTTTTGAGTAGTTAATTGATTAATAAAACCTGGAAAAGTATAAAACTTGAGGATAAAAATGGAAGAATTTTGAAGAATATTTTTTTTATTCCATAAACAAGATAATTGATAAATTTATTCACATTTGCCCTATGACATAGTACAAAAATACAAAAAATCTAGACCCAAAAAAAACCAAAACTTTTCATCAAATCTAAGCAGAGGGTTGGTTCTGCTCAAGCTCCAATTTATCCCGCAAATGGCGAACCCGTGACTTGACAATATCCCAATCGAAGTAGCATCCAGTCAGGGTTCTCGATTTTCCTGGAGCATTCTTGAATCCATCTCTTGTATGTAGAAGACGTTGGTTTGCCCACAATACGGTATCTCCGTCTTCCAATCGGAATTTCAGAACGTTTCTGGGTTGATAGCAATGATCGGTGAAAGTTTTCATGGCTCTAAAAATAACTGGTCCAGATAAATCATTTCGTTTGTACTCACCTATAAACATTCTGAACTTGGTTTGGTTCACAATCATAGAACCAACTTCGCATTGCATTTCCAAATTGAATCTTATTAACCTTTCCCTCGTCATTCAACCGGATAACCTTGTGTCTCGCACACATATCATAGTCAAATCTGAACTCCTTTCCATTAATTTCATGAATGTCGTATCCCTCCTCAATGTATTCCATCGAATGAGTTGTCAGAATACGGAAGACTTCTGGGTTCTCCACTCTCAACTGAAAGAAAAGTATTATTTGTGACTCGTGAGTCAGGATACGATTTACCTGTTCAGCCACATGGAATCCATCCACAAACAAACTGTTCCCGCCCTCTTCCGCACTTTGTAGCATATGAAGCATTTGGAGCTGAATAACAAAAATGTTATGATTCTGGATAGATTAGTCAAACCTGTGGTGGATGAGACAACGATGGAAAATCTGTGTGGAATGGAAGTCCTCCGTTTGAAGCGTAAGCCATATTTGAAGCATCAGCTTTCGTGCTCACTTCGAATACGATTCTGAGACAAAGTGTTTTTTTTTATTTTAGAAAACAGTAGGCTGGTGCGCCTTCGGCGCGATTTAACCTGTTTATTTGAAAAACTAGATCGAGAGGTTTCCTCAACAAAAGATTAAAATTATTTTAGATGACATTTTAGTCTTTGAAAACAGACTAAAATGCCTAAAAATTTATTCTAGATAAGCCTATTTGTGTGTTTTGGCTTGTCGAAGGTCCGGAATTAATTTATTGCTTTTCCAAATTCCATCTGATAGTGATGCAGAGAGAAATCTCAGATTTTCTGCATTTTTGACTATTTGTGTAAATTAGGATGACTTGTTCGGGATTATCGTATTTTCTCTAATGTAAAAGCCTACTGAAACCGTCGACTTTGGGTTCAATCATCTCGACTTCAGTTAAAGACTTTTTAAAAAATTATCAGCTGATAAACAATTGGTGACATTATGATAAATAGTTAATCAGTTGAAAAAAATTTGATATCTTTTACAGAAATCAAGATAATTGAGCTCAGTTGATGGATTGGATGCGCTTCTATTGAAGGAAATACGATAATAAAACCCATCTCACAATCGAAAGTTTTTTTTTCGCAATTCCCTTCTATAATTTTCCTATCCTCTGAATCCAACTTCTGATCTTCCGGTCAAAGTTTGTCAATTTATTTCATAGATGAACTCGAAAATAACAACATTTCACACCCTCAGGCATTTCGACTTATTGTCAGCCACCATCAAGAATAACATCTAAACATGTGCACAAACAAATTGTATTGCACATGTTTCATTTTATGGGTGTAGTACTCGTTCTAGTGAATGTATTCCAAAAATGTTTTTGCAACATTAAATCGAATTTTGTAGTGAAAAAAGAGCGAATATTTACATAGAAACTTCCGTTTTCCCAGCGGGTAACATATTCAAAAGATCAGATTTGCGATGAAGTCCTGAATTTTTCCTTGAATCGAGTAAACCTACCCGAAATGTGTTCTTTTGATCATTCCAATACGGTCTCCAATCGCTTCAATTGCTCCTCGAGCGCCCTGTGGAGCTCCTTTGAGCACAGCAATTCCATCAATACAAACAGCTTCAAGGAAGTCATGAACAACTCGGTCATTCTTCATAAACTCTTCATGGCTGAACCTTTTCAGCTTCTTCTCAATTTCCTCTTTTCCCCAAGTCTCTTCCGGAAACAAATACACCTTCCTTCTTCGTTTTCTTGCTTCTTGATCTGATGGGTTCCGCATCTGGAGCCATTCTGATGGGAATGTACTCAAAACTCCCGAATCCCACTCAATTTTCAGAGAATCTCCATCTCCGTCGATCCACAATTTCCTCGCCTTCTGCTCTACATCAAACTCCAACATTGTCAAATTACGGGCGGTCATTGCCGGAGAAATTGTGTATGTTGCTGCATCTGGAGAAGTATCACGCAGCCATATGAGTGGGAATTCTCCGGTTTTGCCTGTAAACATTCATTGAAAAATATTTATAGGGATGAAAGGGGAGGAAAGTGAGATCTGCTCTTCAAAAAATGATGAATAAATCAAGAAATTCATGTGAAAAATGAACACCGACACAAACGAAATACTATTCGTTTTTTCCTGAATTTTTACAGATGTTTTTCGTTTTTTATTCGAAAATGCAGGAGTGCTTCAAGAGAAAAGTTCAAAAAGTGCCTCCAGATTGGGAAAAGAGGAAATTCGTAAAAATTAGGACCAGAATTTCAGGCAATCCCCTGGAAATTAAATGCCTGATATCCAGCATGCAAGTCAAAAACTTGAATTTCATAAATAATTTCACCTGTGTAGCTACCGTAAACACTATAATAGAATGCCACCCAAACCATCAACTTTGAGGCTATTCACCTCATTTCCTGTGAATGATATCAAAAATTAGTTAACTGATAAAGTGTTGCTGATATTATAGTAAAAATTTTGTCAGTTAACCACTATCAGATATTTTTGTAGAAAATGAGATAACCTGTATTAGAAGGACTATTGTTCCAAGGATACATCCGGAGGGCCATTCTGCTATTCCAGCCGTTTTTTCAAAAAAAAATCATCAAAAAATTCGGTGAATTCTCGTTCAAAATTCATGACAATCCCCCAACGTCACCAAAAACAGACCAAGTTTTTGAGAAAAAAAAAAAGTAATTCAACATATTTCTGTGAAATTGTGGAACTTCCATAATAATTTTCAATGAAAACGTAAGGAAATTTTCGATTTAAAATGCAAATTTGAGGGGGCACCACTATTACAGGGCCCTTCTATTTTTCCAAGTCTCTCGCGGAGGGCCCTTCTATTAGAGGGACGCTTCTTATACAAGTTTTACGGTATTTCGGCTCAAAGATTACGTTTGGTTGCGGCCTATTAGAGTGTTAAGACATTCGAATTTCTAAAACTTCTTTCAGGTGACAGGTTCTATAACTTCCAGTTTCCCTTATCATTTTGAACTTGAGACCCTTTTCTATACTACAGATAAGAAACGTATCCACAGTTGTAGTGGTTATTTTCCCATTTGATCTCCTGGGAAGAACAGTCCCGGATCAATAAAATATTCGAAAGAGCTCAAAAACTATTTTTACGGTACAAAAAACCACAAATCGATTCAAGAACAGAATCTGTAATAAAAATAGAATTTACTCACCATCACTCCATTTTACATTTACAATCCGGTCAGCATTTGGACCAGCTACAGATGCGAGTTTACTAGCATTCCGGAGATTTCTGGAAAATCGAAAATTTAGAAAGAAATCCTCAAACAGTTCAACTTACCGGATTAAATGGGCAGATAACATGACAAGACAGCAAGAACAACAGAATACGAAAAAACTGAAACGAAAGTGAACGTGCAAAAAGACACAGACACACTACACCTTTGCATCCAATGGTTTTTCTTATCGGAGAAATATGGAGAGACGCAGAGAAAAGGCAGCAATAAACTTTGATCCCCCCCCCCCCTCTCTACCCAATGGTACTTTGCCCTTTGGGATTACTGTATGGATTACTGTAGATTCTCACAGTAAAATATCTCGTTTTCCATTCACTTCATCACCTTCTCATTTTTTTTCCTTCTGTCGCTCCTTCCAGCCCCGCCCACTTTGTGCCCTCCCTCTTGCTCCTTTTTCGCTTTCTTCTTCGTCGTCTTTATATTCTTTCTCATTCTACTACTAGGCATTCTGGCTTCAAAAAAGAAGAGGAAGGATGCCATCGTTATTTCTCAAAATTCTAATATACAGTTTGATTCAAAGTGCACTCGGACAGGCCAACTTTTGGGATTACGATGAGAATGTGACACAAATCGAAGAGGATTTTAGGATTGACGATGTGACAAAGATTCTGAAGAGACTTGGAAATTACAATAGGAATGCATATCCATTATTGAACCAAGGTGAGATATTTTCTTAGCTTGCATAGTTGCAATTTGCAATTTATAGAATAGACCATTGCAAGAAAATTCTGACAGAATTTAAATCAATTCTGAGTTTAGCTCACATTTATTGGAATGAATGTTATTTCTCTGAATTAAAGAAATCTGCCGATTCTGGACTCTTTTTTTTCGCTATCAAGTCCCATAAATCAATCTTCAGTGCCTTTTTCGGTTTTTTGAGTGTCCAGTTTTACAGAAATCCCATAACTGATCCCACTCTCCTTCTCTATATAATCTTCTTCTAAGATCCATTTCTCTCCCTCCGAAACCTTTTGAGCAGAATGAACCAGCCTTCATCCTAACATCTTCATATGATCCGTCAGAAATATTTCTTTTTTTTTTCGTTCAGTCTTCTCATTTAATTGAAGAAGTCTTCTTCTTCTTCTTCTTCTGCCTCCAATGCCTTTTTCATATACTTCTTCATAACCGAATTTTATTGTTTCTCGTAAAAAAAGTATTTCCCTTCTCCCTATATATTCAAGGGACGTCTTGTTGTTCTAGAACAATATTTGCTGAAAATGGCAAAAGTACATGTATGGCTCTCTGTCTCTCTTCATAAACTTCTGAATTCTCGGAATTCCCAAGTCCCATCACTCAGAGTCCGGCATATCCATCATTTGAGAGTGTGTGCACTCCCCTCGTCGTTTTTTTGTCGAATTGAAACTGTCTTGGAGAAGTGAGAAAAGCAAGAGAATGGGTCCTTTCTGTTTTTGAAAAAAAAACACATAACAAAAAATTCCGGAGTTTTTGTTCACTCAATGTTGCTCTCTCGGATGAGTTCTTTCTCTCTCGTCACTGTTAGAGAGAGCTCTGAAGCTCTGTGGGGGAGGACGAGAACAAAAAGAACATAACACGAATGGAATGGGTTAAGGTCTACCGGGCATATTTCAGACAAATGTGTGACTGGTTTCGAGAAGAAAAACATTCTGGAAAAAGGTCTCGAACTCTCACAAGAAGATTGGGGTTCAGGGGGCTTGAGATTTCAGTATTGAATTTTTTATGTTCTGGTTACGGTAAAGTTACCTTATTATTGTTAAACAGTCCAAAAATCATAAATGAGGTTTTTCGAAAGTTTTTTATGGTTGTTAGGGTCTGCATTCCGACGTAACGGTGTACAATGCTGAGTGTTCATTCTGCTCTAGCTTCGCCCACGTGGCTCAGTCGGTAGCGGCGCCGCACCTTCAATATTCGTCCTTGTTAGGTAATAGTCGAAAGTTGGTCCATTCCTTCTCCTACCTGAAAATCTCAATTGACTAAAAAAACATCTGAAGGATTAACCTGGTCGATTCAACTTCAAGAAGGTTCTTGTGCCCTTTTGGACAACAAACTCAATTTTCCAAATCAAAGGAAACTTTTTCCAATAACGGTGTTCCTTTAGTTCTTTTTAGTCATTGTATTTTATAATTAGAATTCATAAACCCTATGATCGTTTCAAATCCTATCCATTTGAAAAATGGGACGACTGAAAATCCATCTTCAGAATATGCAATTTCTTCATATTTCCAGATCTACCAACCCACGTGGACATTCAGATGTACATTGAGGGAATGTCATCATTTCATGCTCAGTCAATGGTGAGTAGTTGAATGTGTGTCAAATGTTGCTCTTTCTCCTCGCTTAGAAAAGCTTAGAAAGCACGAGCCGCGCCTTGCGGTCAAACCTGATTGAAAAATGGCAGAAAATTGGGCAGAGACGACAATTAGACATTTGGTTTTCTTTTTCCGACTAGTAGAAAAAAGGAGAGGAGACTCGTGCTTTGAATTCAGAAGACGTTACTATTTGGATTCGATTGGGTGGTCTCCTTCTTATTTTCAGACTTATCGTGTTATGAGAAAGTGGTCCAACGGGGGGACATTTCCTGGGTCGCCTTCTTGTGACTTTGTATTTTTTTTTTATTCCCCAAAGATTTTGAACAATGTCTTTTCAGAAAGAAAGAAACCGGCGGAGAGAAACGAGAGTCTTTCAAATATGAGTCGAAGAGTTATTTCGAGAGGAGACCAACTTTTTTTTTGCTTGAGAACAAGAGAACAAGAAAACCACAATTTGACACTTTTTTTTTGAAATCTCTCTCTTCCTCAAAAATTTATTCAACGGATTCGCCAATCAGAAAAAAGGGAGAAGGAAGCTCTACAACAATAGCTTATCCTCCATTTTTTGATAGACATCTCTTTCTCTTTTTTTTGCTGAATTCTAAATTCAAAAGACAACAGCTTTGCGCTCCACTTATTTGAGGTTGTTTTCAAAAGAAAAAGAAAAGGACAGAAGAGAGTACAAATACAAAAATTTGGATCCGTCGAATTAGAAGCACAAATTTTTGGGATGTCTTCTGTTTTGTTCATATTCATCCGATCTTTATTATTCCAATGGAAAAACACTGGAAACAATAATAAAAACAAGTCTCGAAATGTGTGTGACGGAGTATGGAGAAGACCGCCTTAGGGGGTTTTTTTGGAAGAAGAAATGAGCTAATTAATTTTCGGCCTGGATACGAAACTTGAAACAAGGAAGGTTGGGAAACGGAACGGCTCTGGGAATAAATATTTGAGAAATTCCAATTCCAGTAAAGATAAGGGATCTGGTCTTGTTAGTATCTCTGATGAGCTGCTCATGGGTCGAACTTACAGTACCACATGGCAGGGATGTTTTTTAAAAAATAATGGGCATTCAATCTATGTTATAGACGCGAATACCGTTTTTTCTCTAATAGAAGCCCACACAATATGTTCACCATGGATGTTCGGAACCGAATTTTGAATTCCGAAAATTTCGAAGCTTTTTTTGGAATCAAATTTCGATCGGAATTTTCCGGACGTTTTTTATTCGGAATTAGGGATTTTTGGACTGCGGTATGTTGCGAAAAAATTGCTTGCGGGCAGAACTACTTCCAATTTTTTGTTTTTTCAAATAAAAAATTCCGAAAATCCAAAAATCCGAAAAGGTCATTCCGAAGATTCCATATGTGCACTTCGAGCTTAATTATTTTGGTTCCTCCATTAGATATCAAGAATTTGTCAACTGATAAAATGTCACTGATATCATGGAAAACATTTTATCAGTTGACAAATCCTTGATATCTTTTGAAGGAACCGAGATAATTGAGCTCGAAGTGCCCGTAGTGGGTAGGCTTCTATTAGAGGAAGTACCGTAGTCTCTCGCCTCGCCAAATCGTCTTGTTATGAGCAATTTGTGCAAGACTTGAACCAAAAACTTTCTAAATAGATAATGTATTATCTACTTCATCAAACCAATTGTTGGAAGAAGTCTATTCACTCCTCAGAATAATCATAAAACCTGAAAAATCCGTGAATTCAACTCCACATCCTTTCAAGCTCTTGGAATTTTGAAACCCAAACCTCTTGGAACCTTTTAGAATTTCAAATTTCTGAGTCCCATCAACCTCTGAGTGATCCCCCCTGAGCTCCCACATGATCCCCCTGAGCTCCCACAAAGCTCTAAATTCCAGACACCTCAAAGGTGAATAGTCAAAAAACTTTTCTCTTTTCTTGAGAGATTAGGGTTTTCGGGTAGAAGTTGGTACAAGAGCTCTCTCTTTCAAATGACTTATTCATAATTTTTTCTCTCTTGTCTTATGACACATAACCCTTGGGGGCAACCAAACAATTACTATTTTTTCTAGCGAGAGCAACAAGGGGGAATTCATTTTAACACACGCAATGATGATGGATTGCTTTCTTTGAATACCTAAATGAATACCTAAATAGAGCAGAAAAATGGGGCATAAGTTGACAATAGAGAGACAGGTCAAAAATTGAAAAAAGAGGGAGACTTCCGACACATTTCCGTTTGTTCGAATGAGTTATTTCGTGACGGAAATGTATGGAAATCCGATTCCTATTCTCATAGGAAAACACAGTAATCTTCAGTCGTTTTTTGATTTTCAGGATTTCCAAGTGGACATTTATTTCCAAGAGAAATGGATCGACCATCGACTGGAGCACAATAATACGAAAAGGATTCTGGTGAAGGATCCGAAACTATTCGGTCTTCTTTGGCATCCGGATCTGTATTTTGCAAATGCCAGAACTGCCAGTTTTCATGATGTGACACAACCAAACTTCCTAGTTTGGATATATCCAAATGGAACTGTTTGGTACGATTGCAGGTGAAAAACTTGATTGAGATGGTTTTTTGGAAGTTAGAAGTTTTCAGAATATCTCTGACCGTGTTGTGTATGCAAGATCTTGCCAGATACCCCTTGGATTCTCAGAATTGTGGACTGCGGATATTAAGCTGTGAGTTTTTTTTTTAATTACAGTACTTTCATTCAGATGGAACATTTTCAGATGCTTACGACGAAGAGCAGCTAATCATCCGCTGGAACGGTGCGAATCCTGTAGAAGTGAATCGTAGAATTCGAATGCCAGATATGCATCTGAAACACATCAAACACTATACAAAACGAGATAAATATGCCACTGGAATCTGGTCTTCGGCAGTTGCAGAATTCCATGTGGATCGAGAAATCACCCATCACATCATTCAATCTTATATTCCAACGTCTCTAATTGTTATTATCAGTTGGTTCAGTTTTTGGTTAGACGTTGAAGCAGTTCCTGGAAGAGTTTCTCTCTCGATAACAACCCTTCTAACTCTGGCAACTCAATCGAGTGCAGCTAGAATGGCTCTTCCCCAGGTGACTTGCTTCCAGAAAAGAGCTCAAAAACTCATAAAATTCTTTGCAGGCATCTGATGTGAAGGCGATTGACGTTTGGATGGGTACTTGCATGGCATTCGTTTTCTCTGCGATGATCGAATTCACCGTCGTCAATTATTGCATCCGGCGGAAGGTTCGAACGAAGCCGAAGCCACGTGGACTTTCAGAACAAGTTCATGACCTGGTTGCTCAATATAAAGAAAAGAAAGACAAGGTGAGTGCCGAGGGAACTTTTTGAATAGGGGTTCTGACTTGTCTGAAAAGGGAGACTTAAAAGTATTCGAGTCTCCGAAGTCTAGACGGAACACAGGGTTCGAACTGCTGTTGTATGCTGTTGAGCTTTCATAAGAAGGCGACGTGGCGGAGTTTTAGCACGGATGTTCGGAATGGCCTTTTCGGAATTTTTAGAAATGTAGAAAATTCTGATTTTCCAAATTTAGGAATTTCGGAATATTCCGATTTTGAAAAATTGGAAATAAGCGCAACAGCATACCACAGCATGTCGATCCCTGGGGCGGGATGAATTATTAAAGTTTCTGTAGAATGACTAAAAATAAAACAAGACAAATTCTCTGATTCTTCTCATTTTCAGTATTCGAACGGAAACTGCGAAATCAGTTACGAACTGTCTCTTCAACCATCTGAAGACAATCCAACACTTCAACGAAACTTCGAGAAGAAAGAAGTTCGCGAAATGAATCAAGCGCCACTCTTCGTTCGCCGCTCTTTGCTCCCTACTTCGAAACGGAAGACGATTGAAGAGAGGTTTGTTTGATTCCCTCGGGAGACACAATAACCTCAATATTTATTCTTCTTTTTCAGAATAAATCGAGTTGAAGAGAACCGGAAATACGCACAGGGAATCGATCGGTATAGTCGTGCATTGTTCCCATTGGCATTCATCATTTTTAATATTTTTTATTGGCTCTATTATCTTAAATACGCTGTGAGCAATTCCCCTGAACTATTGCTTTGAAAGCTTCTGAATCTTTGTTGTCAATATTGCCTTAATCGCTTTGTACACTTTGTTTTTTTGTTGAACCCTATAAGGTGATTATTTCTGGTTACCCGAACATATTAATTTCTGTTTTTTTTTATCATGAATAAAGTTTTTTTAAGTTTCAAAATGTAAATGTAACAAAAACACAACAACTGATAGTGAGAGCAAACAAAGAAAACAATAGAGATTTAAAAAAAACTAATTTAACTATTTTCCGGAATATCCTTGAGCAATTCCACTCCTTCCCTCGGTCACTGTTGTCGAATCTTCAGATGCAGTGATGCCGTCATCCAGTCCTTTCCAGGTTCGATCGTTACAGTAACCAGGATTGTAAATGGCAATCGAACGAGGACCATCTCCTTCTTTTTCGTCTTCTTTTGTCACAACACGAACTTTTCCAGAAATCAAACTGAAATCTCCAACGTCGACTTCAGGAACTTCCGTTTCGATTTTATCTGAAAATTATTGAGGTGGAAAGAAATGGAGGAGAAAGTGCAACAAACCTTCAAGGAACGCGGCGAACTCGGCCGACCATCCAAAATCTGCTGCCCACGTCTTCGAAGGATTCAGAGCGATCTGTGAAATCAAGAATCTTTTACGATGCTCCAAGAAACCATACCTCTGCTTCAAAGAAAGAAACGACGGGTCTAAAGTAGTCGGAAGAATCCAAAACAACTCCAAATGGACAGGAAAGAAGAACAAAGACATCGATATCAGTTGAGAAATTGGACAGTTTCGGGACATTGATCTGAAATTTCAAAGATTTGTTACAGCAGAAAAAAACAAGCAGTCACACCTTTCCTACGGAGATTACATAGATTTTCTTGCCGGCTGCCTTGCATAGCTCTCGCATTCGTTTCACCGCTTCGCGATGCTTATCGACGCCAACACTACCGACGACCAGTCCGACTGTGTCCGCATCCTTCAGCTTCTCAACCAGAAAAAGTCGTTTTCGAAGAAGACGAGACGAACGGGTACTGAAAAAAGAGCAAAAAATATGGAACTTGATTTTTGGCAAGATTTTGAAAGATTATGTCAGGTATAAATTGAGAGAAACGTGCCAGAAGCATTCATCGCAACATTATGGAATCCCGATTCATTACTTATGTTGGTACGGCCGTCAGTGCTACAGTACTCCTTACTACTTTATTTGTCTGCTGGAATATTGCAGATGACTTAAACACTCTCCAAAGAATGTCTGACAAAAACATGCAAGATTTCAAGGTTATTTTTTTTCCTTTGTAAATGACCTTATGGCTGCCAAATAAAAGATTTTAGGCAATCAGTGATCAGACCTGGGACAGGATGATGTTTAAACCACAATCTTCGCAGCCTGCTAGTTTGATCTTTGGAAGAAACAAAAGATCAGGAGACAAATGTAATTGCTCTCAGGAGCCATCGAATTGTCCAGCAGGACCTGCCGGACCTCCAGGAGAAAGAGGAAACGATGGTGCGGATGGAGTGGATGGAATTCCAGGATTCCCTGGTGAAAATGGAGGAGTCGCTTCGGAACAACCTTCTGATGGCACTTGCATCAAGTGCCCACCAGGACCACGGGGACCACCAGGCCCTATCGGAGAAGAGGGACAAGCTGGAGAGCCTGGAGAGGATGGAGAAGGAGGAGCTCCAGGAAATGATGGAGCAAATGGAACACCTGGAAAGACAGGAGAACCAGGGCAAAAAGGACCACAAGGACCACCAGGAACGCCAGGAAGACCAGGACAACCTGGTAGAAAAGCTGTTGGAGAGCCAGGACCAAAGGGACCACCAGGACCACCTGGAACTGATGGAAGACGTGGAGAAAACGGAAGTGATGGGGATAATGGAGCCGATGGACAACCAGGAGATGATGGTGAGCCTGGAAAAGATGGTACTCCAGGAGAGCCTGGACCACAAGGAGAGCAAGGAACTGAAGGACAACCTGGATATGATGGGGCATATTGCCCATGTCCACCTAGAAGCATTTCCAAGGTCGCTATTCAGTAGTCTTTCATTTCTGTTTTTTTCATGAATTCGTTTTAATCAAATAAAGACTTTTTCGAAACTGAATCAAGGTCAAATTTTGAGAACCATCGGAACGAGAAACAAGTTATTTCGCGAAAGCGAACTTCTTCAATCAAACAAAAAAATGTTAGGAACATAACGGCTTATGAAATTACGACACTGAGAATTGCCTAGGTCTCCCCGTTTACGGTGCTTACCATAAAGAACACGTTCGGGGTCGTCTTTGATCATCTGACATTGACTTTACTGCAGTAAACCGTTTTCTGAAGAGATTATTGTTCTTTTTGACCCTGTGAAGAGCGGTATAAAAGCGCAGTGATGGCATTGAAACGACATCTTGGCTTCATCTGAAGATGACCGGAACAACCTGCCTCGCAGTTCTCGCTGGACTTTCGGGTCTCGTCGTGTTTGGCGCCCTTTTCTCTGTTGCTCATATCTACAATGATATCAACTCCTTTGTTGATAGCGCTCATAGAGAGCTCGGAGATTTCAAGGTAAGATTCAAGTCTCGTTTTCTTGAGTAATTCGGAATTTTCAGGGATTCGCCAACGATGCCTGGAACTCGATGGTAAACCATGACAATGCTGACCGTGTTGCCCGAAGTGTCTTCGTCCGTCGCCACAAGAAGCACTCCCAATGCAACTGTGGACCACAAGCTTCCAACTGCCCAGCTGGACCACCAGGACCACCAGGAGCTCCAGGAGATAGAGGACTCGACGGACAACCAGGACAAGCTGGAAACCCAGGACAAGCCGGAATCGCTCCACCAAAGAGCCAAGAGCAACAAGAGTGTATCAAGTGCCCAGCCGGTGCCCCAGGACCAGCCGGAGCTCCAGGAGCCCCAGGACCACAAGGACCAAATGGACAGCCAGGACACCCAGGACAAGGAGGATCTCAAGGACCACCAGGACCACCAGGACCAGTTGGAAACGCCGGAGCCCCAGGAAACGCAGGAGCCCCAGGAAACCCAGGACAAGCTGGAAGAGGAGGACAACGCGGACGTGGTCTTCCAGGACCAGCTGGAGCTCCAGGACCACAAGGACCACCAGGACAAGCCGGACAGCCAGGACAATCTGGAGGACAAGGACAACAAGGACCAGCTGGACAACCAGGACCAGACGGACAACCAGGACAACCAGGACAAGACGGAGAGGCTGGAGCACCAGGAAACGATGGAGCCCCAGGATCCGATGCTGCCTACTGCCCATGCCCATCTCGCAGCGGTGCTTCATCTGCTGTTGAGACTGGAGCTGCTGAGCAAGGTTACCGTCATCGCGCTGTTGTCGCTCGTCACCGCAACGTCGTCCGTCGCCGTGTCGCCAAGAAGCGCGTCGTTAAGAAGAAGCGTGTTGTCGCCCGTCAAGCCTAAATTCTAGCAAACTCTCAGTTTGTATAATCTTTACTAGATTTTTTGGAATTCAATAAAAACTTCAATCATCTTTCCTACCTCTTTGTATTTCACAAATTTGAACTGACATGCATTGAAACTGTTTCTAAAGGGGAAAATAATTTAACGGAGATAATGAACAAAAAAAAACGACTATCAAGGTCATCCATCTTCTGTTTCTTTTCCTCTTCCTCCACACTCAAGTATTTGGAGAAAGTTGATCGGAAAACAACAGAGAGACGGACAAAGAAATGAAAATGTTACAATTTGGATTGGTTCGGAATGAGATGAAAGAGAAAAAAGCATCAGAGGGAGTGACTGCAAAAAAGGAAACACCTATTGTAAGAAAAAATATGTGATGAATAGAGGGGAAGAAGGAGCAAAATATGATTGAAACACGTGGAGAGAGACATTTGCAATTGAATAGCAACAACGGGCGGAACTAAACATTGAAAAGGGTAGAAGTCCGAAACATTTGTGTATTGTCCACGTGGGTTGAAAATACACACAAAAAGGGATCATTCAATGGGAAGTCGAAGTTTGATGAATTTTTCGAAAATTTTAGGCGTGAGAGGAAGATTTAAACTGTTTATCTGTGTATTTCTTTACCAGCAAGCTGGTGCGCCTTCCGCGCGATTCAATCTATTTTTTTCAAATGTTCGTCGCTTCGTTTCTCACTTTTTCTAAATAAAAGGGTCACGTAAATATATATATATATATGTATTATATGTATTTTCGATGGTATTATATATAATTTTATATATATGTATTTTTCAATTTTTTCAAAAGTCCACAGACGGACAGACGCCTCTAGCGTTTTATTAATAAGGAAGATCAATGTGTCAGTAAAGAAGTTTTACAAATAATTGGGGAAACTATAGAAACAGAGTTATAGAAAAGTCAGTGTCTATAAATACCGTGAAACCTGTATTAGATAGCCCCTTTAATAGAAGGCCCCTCTAATAGAAGGGCCTTCCGAGAGGGCTTGGAAAAATAAAGAATAGCCTCCTTCAAAATGTGTGGTTTGAAATTGAAATTACCGTACTTTTTTCACTCAAGTTTTTGAAACACTCTTTTTTGTCCGAAAACTTGCTAGATTTTGGCGGAACTAATAGATTTTCACGAATTTTGAAGTATATTTCCCCGGATTTTTCGATGGAAATTTTCGAAATGGCCGAAAAAATAGAAAGGCTTCTGTAATCGAAGGACCCTCCGGATGTTTCCTGGTAACAATAGAACGGCCGGCCCTTTTAATACATGCATCTGATTAACATAGTTTGAGTAATTTGATGATGTGATATGATTCTCGATCCCTATATTATTTTTTATTTTTTAATGTACACCTTCCAAAAGCCCATTTCAGATTTGTATCTTATTCTCCTAAGTGCCACGTCACTAATTACTTCTGGCAGACTGAAGCATCTCTTGATAGCCGTTGACGAACCAACAGCAATTACCGTTTTTTTCTTCTAGGAAACGGGCGATAAGATCATGCGCTTCTCTCGGTCATCTTCGTCTAAAGTGAACTGATCGAAAAACGGACACAACACCCAACGAAAGTACTTGCGTTCTTACTCTTAGAAAAAACCAAAACTAGCAAACTTTACTTCCTTCTGTTCATCAATAATGTCTGGGTTTCCATGAAATGTACAGTCTCATTAGCAGCAACATCACAAAGCAGTTACAACACCTCTCCTCTGGATACCTATTCTCTCGCCTTTCCGCTTCGAAAGTGTACAATTTAATCAGAGAAAGGAAACAGTTTCTCCGTCGATTACCGGTATAAAATGGGTTCCAAGTTACTGCCAAATCACAGCAGTCGCTTGCGAGGATGTCGTCAACAACCTTCCTTTCGGTCATGGCCGGTTTATCCGGTATCGTGGTTTTCGGAGCTCTCATCTCCGTTTTCCACATCTACTCTGATATCAACTCTTTCGTTGATGAGGCTCATCGTGAGCTTGGTGCTTTCAGAGTAAGTTTAGCCTTCACAATGAACAGGGATTACTGTATCTTTCTAGGGAGTCGCTAATGATGCCTGGAACTCGATGGTGAACCACGACGATTCTGCTCGTGTTGCTCGTAGCGTTTTCGGACGCCGCCAAAAAAAACAATCCCAATGCAACTGTGGACCACAAGCTTCCAACTGCCCAGCTGGACCACCAGGACCACCAGGAGCCTCTGGAGATAGAGGACTTGACGGACAGCCAGGACCAGCCGGAAAGCCAGGAGCACCAGGAGTTGCAGGACCAGCTCATCACCAGAAGCAAGAGTGCATCAAGTGCCCACAAGGAGCCCCAGGACCAGCCGGATCTCCAGGAGCCCCAGGACCAAAGGGACCAAATGGAAATCCAGGAGCCCCAGCTCAAGGTGGAGGTCAAGGACCACCAGGACAACAAGGACCAGCTGGAGATGCTGGAGCACCAGGACGCCCAGGAGCTCCAGGAAACCCAGGACAAGCTGGAAGAGGAGGACAACGTTCCCGCGGAACCCCAGGGCCAGCCGGACGTCCAGGACCACAAGGGCCAGCAGGAGCTCCAGGACAGCCAGGAAGCGGAAGCACTCCAGGACCAGCCGGACCACCAGGACCACCAGGACCAGACGGACAACCAGGACACCCAGGACAAGACGGACAGCCAGGAGCCCCAGGAAACGATGGAGCCCCAGGAGGAGACGCCGCTTATTGTCCATGCCCAGCTCGCAGCTCTGCTGTTTTCCGTCACCGTAATGTCGCCGTCAACCGTCACCGTGCCGTTGCCAAGAAGCGTGTTGTCGCCAGAAAGCGCGTCGTCGCCAAGAAGCGTGTGGTTGCCGCCAGACGTCACGTCCAAGCATAAGACAAACATATCCATTACTAGTAGTGATACCGGATAGATTTCTGATTTCAATAAACTCATTCACTTATCAATTTCTGTGTTGTGATCTTTTAAGTCTTTATATAATATATTTCCTAAGAATTCTGACTTCTTCTTTCACTCATCACTTTCTCTTGAACAAATCGAACACGGCGCATGAGTTTTTTTTTCTCTTTTGTCTCGTCGCGGCGCCACGGACAATGAAGAAGAGACTGATGAGAATTGGGGATAGGGGGACGAAGATAATCAAAGCCGCAAATATCTGAATTATCGCTATCACCTTGACGCGTTCATAAAAACTCGGCGAATCGAGAAACGCGGTTTTTGAGCGATGCGGGTCACAGAAAACCGCAGAAAAAGCGGTCCCGGTGTGGTCGAGAGATAGCAGTGAAAGGAAACCAAAAAGGATCCCCCGAGGAGGAGACGATGAAGTCATTCATTCCATCCGAGAACGCTTCTCACCGTCGCACGCCAATCGTCTGTCTCATTTTTACCGATCCTTATCCCAATAGGATACCTGCATGTTTTCTGACACTTTCTGCAAAGGTCTTATTTTCCTTTCAATCTGTGGTGACTGTGTGCCCATCTAGCTTCAACCGACTGCCAATCCGGTTGATTTTAAGTTTAATTTTATTGATTTAAGCACCCCACAATCATTCCATCCCGATTTGAATACCCGGTCGGTCAGACAGTTGAATGCGATTTTCTAAAGTCGTTATGGTTATGATCTTGCAGCTACCAGCGTCATCGCTCCGTTTATAAGCGTTACCTCGTCCTTTCCTTCTCCGCTTCCTCCTAGTCATTATCCCTTGTCTTCAGAATCTTCGACGACATTCTCGGAGAGAGTTAGTGAACTAACCTCAACATGGTTAAGTCCTACACTCTGGCTGGGGCAGCAGCCTTGGCGTGTTTGGTGCTGGCAATCTGTGCTGTAATCTCTACTGTTCATATTCTACACGACATTTCTGATTTTTACACAGAAGCCCAAGGAGAACTGGTTGAATTCAAGGTAAGCATCTGAAATTGGAGGTCAGCCATGGTCACTTTTATAGGACATTGCAAACAATGTTTGGGACGAAATGGTGTTTGAACTGACACCAGAAGAGATGAGAGAAGCAGAGGATCTTGAAAGAGAAAAGAGATCTTACGAAGGAGAAGAGCCATACGGGGTTGATACCAGTCCACCTACAACCACAACAACAACTACAACAACCGCTGCCACAACTACAGAAGCTGTTGGAGATGAATCCGGATACGACTTTGGACATGACAATGGACCACCATCTTCAAGACCAAGAAAACCAGTTCCTCCAACTATGCCCCGAACAATTCAAGGTGAACTAAATCATTCTGATGGCTAATTTCAACGTTTGCAGAAGATGTTTCAGGCTTCCGTGCACCTCCGCCAGCTGCCACGTCGACTTATAGGCCACCAAGTGGACAAAATTATGACAATTACGGACGGGAACCAACTTCTTCTCGTCGCCCTCACCCGCCACAGCAACCATATCAACAGGCATCCAGTACGCCTACACCATACAGTACTCCAAACAACAGAACTCTGTACAATCCACCAAAGACTGTTGTCTACCCATCGAATCCAAGCAATCCACGTGTTCCGTACAACCCACCACCAAAGTATACACAACCTCCACCTTATCCTGGAAGCTCTCGTGTGCCATACAATCCAAACTACACTAATGCTCCTCGAACTCCTCCACCACGTCAACCAGCTGGAGGATACGATTCAGATGGTCAGACTCCACCGTCTTGGCCGAGAGTGTACAATACACGCCGTCCAAACGGACCAGGATATCCTGAAGATCAAGTTCCTACCCGTCGACCAAATGCACCTGGTTATCCAGAAGACCAGCTTCCAACACGACGACCAAACGGACCTGGATATCCGGAGGACCAAGTACCAACTCTTCGTCCGAATAGAGAGAAATACCCAGAAGACGAAGTTCCAACTCCCCCACCACCAGGACAACAGAGAGTTCCACCAACGCAGACCCGAAATCCATCTTATCCAGACAAAACTAATCCACGTCAATCAACCAGACCAGTTCCTCCAACAGATGGACATGTTGAAACTAGTACTCCATTTAACCCAACCAACGAAGTTCCACCAGGCAGAACTGGGTTCAGACCAGGCTTCGGACCACAACGACCACGCCCTGGTACTCGGCAAAGAGTCAATCCATGCGATCAATGTTCTGCCCAGCCTAACAACTGTCCAGCAGGACCACCTGGTCCAAGAGGACGCCCAGGACCACCAGGTTTCCCAGGACAAGATGGACCACGTGGTTTGCGCGGACTCAACGGAGGATACACTGGTGTGCATCCATCTTCTTACGATCCAGTTATCGGATGTGTTCAGTGCCCAGTAGGACCACCCGGAGAGCGTGGAGCCGATGGACCACCAGGAGCTCCAGGAGAAGACGGAATTGATGGAGAACAAGGAACCAATGGACAAGACGGACAACCAGGAGCTCCAGGAGCTCCAGGATACCACGGAATGAATGGAGCACCAGGAACAGCAGGAAAGCCGGGAGCACCAGGAAGAAATGGGCAATCGTGTAGAGCTGTTCCAGGGCCACCAGGTCAACCAGGAGTTATGGGAGGGCCAGGAAGAGATGGAGATCCAGGAACTGATGGTGAGCACGGACAAGACGGAAGTCCAGGAATTCAAGGGCCACCAGGAAAAGATGGGAGACCAGGAGCTGACGGTCAACCCGGTGTTTCTGCTCCAGGAGCACCAGGAAACGATGGAGGATACTGTCCATGCCCAAAACGTTCATCAAAGTTTGATTTCACGGATCCAGCTTACACAGAAGAGAAGCCAACAGAACAAAGACCAAGAGAATATGCATCTGATAGAGAAGAAGAACCAAGAACACGCCAGCCAGCTCGTACTGAAAGTTATGGAGACAACTCAGGATACGAACGTGAGAGGAAGCCAGTCTACGAACCATCTGCAGAAGTTCCACCACCACGAAGAAACATATATGAGGACGAAGAGAGAGTCAGAGAACCACCACCAAGAAAACAACCACCTCCACATAGACAGACACCAAGATCCGAGCAACAGAGGTATCCAGAGGAGCAATATGAGAGAAGACCGCATGAAACCAGAGGAGGTTATGACAGAGAAGCACCAAGAGAATACGAAAATGAGGCACCAAGATCAAGGCAAGGAGGAGAGCATTCGTCTGGATATGGAGGAGATCGAGAACAATACATGGAAAGAAGACCAGTAGAACAGCCGAGATATGAGAATAAACCACTTAAAAAGGTTGAGATCAATAGACAACCAGAAAGAGGATATGATCATCACCAACCATCATATGAGGAGAAGGTTTCAAGAACAGAAGGATCAAGAAGATATGGTACAGAATCTGAATCACTGTATGAGGAAGAGCAGAGGGAGGAAACACATCCACCTGGATTCGGGCGACCGAAATCGGAGGAGGATAGAAAAGAACACAGAACTTATCCAGAAGATTCAATGCCACCGGTGAAGCAAACGGATAGATACAATGGGGATAAGAGGAAGAAGAATCAGCCAGAGTATGAAGATATTTCGAAGCCAGAGGAAGATAAGGAAAAGGCAATGGTGAGTAAAATTTATATTTGGATGGTTTAGTAAAATGCATTATTTACAGGAGAAGCATCACAGAAAACCAAATAAATTCCAAGAAAAGCAATGGGAGGAGCATAGAAAGAGTCAGGAGCTCAGGAACTCGAGAGAACATGGAGGACAAGTTCAAAGTAGGATTTCTTCTATGAAAATAGGTTTCTAATTTCAATATTTCAGATGAAAGCCCTCTTCCAATGCAGCAAGTAAAACCAGAAGAACGAGAACGAAGATCTTCTGGAGAAGAGAAGGTTCCAGTTCATGACAATTATCAGTCATCCGAAAAACGTGGATTTGTGAACGAAAATTCACTTCCTTCCGAGCAAATTCCATACAGGAGGAGGACTAGATTCTACAGAAACCACTACTACGATAAGTTCCTCGCATAGAGAGACTAATTTTTAGTTTAATTTATTGTTGATTTATTATTTATTTCTTCACAAAATTTCCCAACATTTTTGCCATCGCCTCCACTAATAAGATCTATAATAAAAATTAAACATACTTTTCATGCTGAATCGATTTATCCATCGGATTGTAATGGGTGACCGTCATGCAACTGGGATATGATAGAAGCCAAATGGGCAGCAATGGAGAGTTCGGGAAGCCACAGAAGATAAGGTCCGCAGGTAGATTATCACGAAGAGCCGCAGAAATTTCACGTCCCAGATACACATTTTTTCGATGTTCTTTCAGATTTTCCTCGCTGGGAAGCGATGCACATGACACTTTTTTAGTGGGTGGAACGATTTCTTCGATTACTGCAACAACTTTTTCTTGTTCATGGGCGAAACAGGAGTCCATTAGAAGAACGATGTGGTCAGTGGATAATTCATTGACGATTTCTTTCAATTTCACTCTGAACTCATCGATGAATGTTGGCAAATTTCCGAGAACGAATCTGAGAATTTTGATGTTTAGTTTTGCGGTCACAGCTAAAAAAACTCACTTAACATCAATTTTATCTGTTGGAGCACTGTGACAAGCTTCTCCAAAATGAACTAGAGCTGTACAATTCGCATGAGCAGCTGCCACTTCATCTACACAGCAACTGAAAATTAATTTTCGTTTTTCTCAAATGAGAATAGGAACCTCCGATAAGTTGTGTCTGCGAGAACAAAGGTCTTCTTAACAATCTCAGGATTCTCATCGTCGCCTATTTTACTCTCAATTAATTTTGTGACTCTTTTGGAATACGGTAAAAGCGAATCGGGGAATTGGAGAGCAATCCGTTGATGATTACTGTTCCTAATCCATTCAGAGGTAGCTTCGATTTCGAAAAATAAGTGAATGTCGTTCTCTGACAAACTCTGAAAAATTAAAAAATTTTATTCAGCAGTTAGAAGTAGAAATACCTCGAAATATCCGGTGTATGGAGATTGTTCATCTTGTATGTGATCTGTCGGCGTTGCTGTTGTGAAAAACGGGCCAGGTACAGATTCAGTCATTACTGAAAGTTGAGGTAAACTTTTTGAAAATATTTTTTGATAGATATTTGCGAAAACATAGAATTTCAGCAGCTTTTCAGAAAAAAATGCAAAAAATTGCAGATATGCAACTGCGCTCTAGCGCAACGAAACGATTTTTGCGCGCGAGTTTGAAATTCGGTGCGGTGATGTGAAGTCACAATGTGATTATGAGATGATAGCTGCTGTAAAAATCCAAGACTTCATCTTTATTAGTAACAGATTCATCTAATTCAATGAATTATATTGAAAAAATAGAGTTTTCATATAATTTTCAGCGAAAGTCGAGTTTTCCAGATGTTTGGATAGCCTATTGTAGATACTGTAGATGGAAATCGAATCCAGGAAGGACTATTACATCTGTGTTTCATTTTTTGGCAGTCGAGTTTCAAGAGCATCCAATCTCGAGAACGAATAATAAAGAACGAAACACCTTAGGGGTATATCTCCAACAAGATTGAAAATTTGAGCTAGACCTGTCCCAGGGATTATTTTGTCATCCAAGATCTATTCAGATCCAGTCAACTACTATTATTGTTGTTTCCAATCAACCGAATGGGTTTGTTTGTTGTTCCCCCGTTTACCCCCATTGTTTTCTACTCCTTCTTCCAAGAAAAATGGCGATAAAACCTCCATCTCAACCCTTTCTTTCATTCTGCCAAAGCTGTCCAACACAACCCCACAAAGCAACATTTTTATCAGGTTAATTTCCATTCTCCCGGTGTCTATCTCAATATCTCGTGCCCCAAAAAAGGGTTCCGAGCGCCGCTCCATCTGTTTGTCCCATATCTATAATGTAAGTGTCAGTCCCCATGGGGCCACCCGTTGTCGCCTCGGGTTATGAAAAAAGGAGTCAGTGAAGATAAGTCAAGAAGAATAAGAAGACGAAGGAGTAGAAGAAGAAGATATAGACCCCTCTTCGTCGTGAGAAGAATCCCATTTGGACACACATCCCAAATCCATTACGAGAAGAAGACGTCGTAGAGGAGCAACTAAATGTTTTTTTTCTCACTCCTCAAAGAATCGTCGCACGCCTTCATTATCCGAATCCCGCCTGACTCTTGTCATTTTTTTGCTCTCTTCATCTTTCATTTCCTTCAATTCGTAACTCGGAACGGTATGGTGTTCCCGAGATGTACTCTGATTCTGTTCCTACCTGTTTTGCTGATGGCTCAAACCGATTTCCATGTCAATCATTGTGTACTCCGATGCAAGGATAATCATATGAGAGAGGTAGGTTGACCATTCTTGTGTGGATTGAAAAATTTCAGAGATACATTCAAGTAATAGCTGGGAGGGTATGGTATCGTACCAGTCGGAAATACGACTGGAGTATAATTTCGCGTCTAACTATAAGAAACATCTGGATTACTGTAGAAAAACAGTATTAAATACTTTCTTTTCTGATAAACCCAGTAATTCCTAGATTTACCTACGCCAGGTTATATTTCTGAACTACCGTATATGCTCTGATACGTGCTCACCCTGTAATTTCTCTTTGAGCTCAATTGTCTCGGTTCTTTCAAAAGATATCAAAAAGTGGTTAACTGATAAAATGTTCATCATATTATCACTAACAATTCATCAGTTCACCACTTTTTGATATCATTTGAAAGAACCGAGATCATTGAAAGATTACTGTAACTTAAAAAATTAGTTTTAGGTTTCTTTGAGTTTTGTTGAGTTTTAGGTTTCAGCGTAGAACTACTGTGCATACAACCAAAACTCTCACAACGGATACAGTAGTTGACAAATTACCACTAGAGCTGGTCCCAATTTAATAAAATGAAATTTCGCTCAGAGCCATCAGAAGCAAACCGCTCCCATTTTTGTCTCTAATACTGTAAAACCTGTAATAGGAAGCCCTGATTATTTTTTGATATCTTTGACAGGAACCAAGAAAAATAAGCTCAAAGGAGGCCCTTGTGTTACAGGTTTTACTGTAGTTGAGTTAGAAGGACTTCAAGATTTTTATACCTTCGCAAAGGTCTCCCATTTTTTGTTTCTAATAGTTCAATCAAGAGAGTCTCTAGTTTTATAAAGCAGCTACTTCTTTTAGAAATCTGATTTGCAGATGGACAACGAATGGTCTCACGACTTCACACTTCCACTTTTAAATCTACTCAAAACGACTGGCAACGAGACCGCCGCTTACATAAAAGCCCACGCCATTTGCACGTATGTGTGTCTGTTTTCACTTTCGAAATGGCTTTGTCATATTTCCGGTCCTCTTTTCCTCTCTCTTGGGAACGTTCTAAATGAGGACGAGTGGGCTCTTTTGAAAATGGGTTATGAGGTGACAGAATGGGGTTTAAAAAGAGAGAAAAAGAGGAGAATGGAAAGGAGAAAAGAGCCTAATGGGATTTCGTACAGCTCATCAAATGATTTGTAATAGTTTTTACAGAAGTAATCGTCTTTTGGAAGCTTGCGTTCGAAACTGTAACACTTCTCAAGAAGCATCCATTATTCTAGCTGGAATCCGATCCTGGCATGATGCTTGTAACAACCTAGAAGGCAAGATTTCGAAGTTTATAGTTAGTAATCTGAATATGAAGATTCCAGAAGTCCGTGCTCAATTCCCCTGCTGGAAAGAAAATGGAGAGAGACTTTCAAGCGTATGCAGAGATCAAACTATTCGTCTGGAGATGGATATGCTGAAGTTTGCCAAGAATCAGACTCAGGAGAATATTGAGACTATTTGCATGTGAGCACCCAGTTATCAGGTTTCCGAAATGAATAACAACATTTCAGAGATTTTGAACACTTCTCCCATTGCTTCATTCAGGAGCACGGAAAGTATTGTGGTTACCGTAGTGAAGTGGTAAGTTATGCTCTATTCCAACAGTTCTCCTATTTCCAATTCTTCAGATAACCGCCAGAATGTTTGAGAACAATCGGGAGGCAATGTTCAAGATGCTGAAAATCCGTTGGAACACTCTTCCCACATCTTGCAAGTACACCCAACTGAGAAGAGATACCTATTCAAGTGACCGGTACAACGAGAACAGCGGAGTCTCGGTTGCCATATCCATTGGTTTTTTGCTTCTTCCATTTGTTCTGTGAATTAGAAAATAATAAAGCTATAGTAATGCTGGAAGCTTATGAAATCGACCTGAATTCTATAAATCAATAAAGATAATTATCGGATTTCTGAAAGGCAATTAAGGAAGTCAATTTTTAAAAAAGTGGTAGAATACGGATTACTTTAATTCCCAATGGGGTTGTTGAGAAAAGAATATAAAGTGAGACCTGTATTAGAAGGGCCGGCCCTTCTATTTTTTTTCAAGGTACGTTCGAAGTGCCTTTTTATTACAGGGGCCTTTCAATTAGAGAGCCCTACTGTTTTTATTGTTTTTACAAATATATTAACTGTGGAATTTTTCGAATATTTTTCACTGAAACCATGCGGAAATTTTTGATTCAAACAACACATTTTGAACGGGCCCTTCTATTTTTCCAAGACCTCTCCGAGGGCCCTTCTAATAGAGGGGTCTTTCTATTTGATGGAGCTCTTCTAATAGAAATTTTACAGTATTCAACAGTTTTAGAATACTTCATGATGGGGATTAAAGATTGGACTGCAATGATCTAGAAATTACCGCACTTCAATCTTTTGATCCAGATCCAAGCACAAAACAGACCAAACCTGCGAAATGCCGATTTGCATCTGTTGTAGTCCTCGAAGATTTCCCATGTTTCATTCGATTCCCACCAGCATAAACCCCATTTCATTTTCTTCGTCCTCATTTCTGCAGGTGTGCCTTTATTTTAATTTCTCCCCCTCTCTTCCCATACGACCCCTTTCCTCCTATTCCTTCTCCAGACTGCTCCTGCTTCAATCCTGAAAGGTTTCCCGCACACACACAAGCGCGTTAATCAATCCTCGTCCGTCCCCTTTTCCCCCCTTGGTTGCCCATAACAACGTGTGTAAAGTGCTCTTTCGTGCTCTTCTCCTATTTCGTAACTCTATTTTCGTTCGTTCTCTCAAATACAAAATGTTTTGATTTGAAATATCTCTTTGGAGAATCCAACAAAAAATATGTGAGTTATTTTTAAACCAGATTTTGGATACCCTTTCTTTATTTAGGGTCTCTGCAAGATACCCAATCGAGACATGGAGTCGACCACAATTAGAGGATCGGTTTCATGGAATTGTCGCAGAGCTACAAACGGCACAGAAGAAGATCAAAGATCAAGAAAAACAGATCACAACGTATAAGTTTGCTTGATTTTTCGCAGTTTGTTGAGGAAAATATTCCAGGTTCAATAGCAGATTCAGACGAAGTATGCTGGAGAGGAAGTCAAGAGAAGAGGAAGTTGTCGAGCGTTCTAAATACGATGATGTCGTCAAGGAGAACAAAATATTGGACATGAAATTGAAGGCAGCAAAACATCAGCTTCTTATATACACTGCTCCATCCGCAAGAGCTGCGACGGCTTCTATGATGACTGGAAGATCCACGTTTAGACAGCCACCTTCCACATTCCGACAGAGACAACCAATGACTGCTGGTACTGTTCCTAGGTCGATTGATAGATCTCCTGGTAGTGTTCCAGTGATCAGGAAGTGAGTCTTTTCTAATATTTTTCAATGTCAAAAGAAACACTTTTATTAAAAAAAAACCTAAAACCTGTAATAGAAAGGCACTCCTACTTTTACCTATGAGGCGGTTTAACTCGATGCATGTCAATGATATAAAAAAAGTTTGTCAACTTAAATTGTTTATGATAATATCAAAATCATTTTATCAGTTGACACATTTCTGATATCTTGCCTAGGAGTCAAGAAAAATTAGCTCGATTACAGGTTTTACAGTATTTGCTCCCTATCTCTACTATTGTCTATTTCAGAAAATCGGATGCTGATAAACTACAACTGGCAACTGATGAGAAACTCACTATCGTTCGATTAAACCGAACAATGAAAAACAAGAACGAAGAAATCGAAGAACTCAAGTACACAATTGAGAAGTTGAGACAGGTATTTAAATATTTTTTTATACATTGTTGTATCTCAATTCTTCTTCAGCGTCTTGCTAACAATTCCAACAATTCTGATCCTCCAACCCGTCGATCCAGTTCTTCAAAGTCTTCTTCTTCCAACAATAACAACGATGACGACGAGAAAGATTCAGAGCTAGAAGAAATGTCTGAAATGTCAGAATCTGCAAGATCCACTCCGGTGATGGAAGAAAAGAAGCCTAAGAAAGAATCAAATGGAAACAATGTACATTCTTCGAATGCTCATTCTTCCTACCAACCACCAAAAATACCTGATCAAAACGAAAAACAACTATTGGAGAAGTTAAAAGTAGCAGAAAACGATTTGGCAATGATTCAAGAAGAGTGTGAATTGCTGAAAAAGGCAAACGAAAGACTAGTTCAACAGTCCTTGTCCAAATCAACAGAGTATGGAGCAAGAGAAAGTTTAGAGGAGAAAAGAAGATTGTCGAGTTGGAAGAGCATTTAAAAGAAACGGAGAAGAGAATTAAAGAGAGTGAACACAGGAGGAGAGAAGATCAGAAGAAGTTTGAGGCGATGAGAATGCATTATAAGACCAAATATGAAAATATGAAGGCTGAGAAGAAGCAGATGAGCATGAATTCTGCTTCTGCTGTGAAGGAAAATGAGGAGGATATTGATAGGTCTGATTCCCCACCTCCTTTGATCTACGAACCAGTTCGAAAGCGACAATCTCAAAGTGACATCAGTCGATCGCGGAGAGCAGATGATGATTTACTTCAAAAACTTTACAACGAAGTCGCAGACATCCTACACTCTCATGATGTTGGAATAGCAGAGATGTCGGCTCTTGGAGCTGGAGAAAACAGTTTGAGTCGGTGGCAGAAATTGTATTCCGAACTTTATGAAGAACTGGAAAAAGTTCGAAACATGTTGGTAGTTCAGTATGATATCAATCAGAAACAGACTACAGAGGTAGGTGTGAATAATAAGAAATCATCTGATTTGGGGTATCTTTCAGATCAAACTTTTGAAAGAAGAACTAGAGAGATTGAAGACTGTTAGTGCTGAAATTCTAACTAAATCTAAAGAGGAGATGGAACAGAAGCAGAAGAAGATATTCATGTTGGAAGAGCAGATTCGGGTTATTGCTTACTCCGGACAACAGCCTGTGAAGCTTCTGTCAAACCAGGTATTTTACCTTTTTTGGAATACAGAATATGTAATGTGGGCCAGAATTACCCGGACTCATAAACCTGTGTATATCTTTAGACATAAACATCTTGGAAACACAAAAATTGGTAGAAATAGAATTCTACGTTTGATTCAAAGCTACTGACATTTTCAAAGCGATTCCTCAAGTCTAGGTATTGTTAGGAAACGATGAACGCCGTTGAAATCTTCATAGGATGAAGGAACTTTGACAAAGGATTACTCAGCTCAATGTTGATAAAATAATTTGAAACTTGGCCAGTTTACTGACGAATTATTAGAATATGGACAATCCTAATTTGAGCCCAATACAACGCTTGATACAAATTTTAAGCTAGTACAACATTTCATCCGAGTAAGCTATGTAAGGTTTCTCAATTTCAGATAAACATTCCAACTCCAAAAGTGAACACCAATTTATTTGTGAAGCTGATTCATGTTAAACCAGCGGCATCTCTCACATCCAAATTTTTCTTCTCTATGGAATTTTTCGATTTCCAACTGGAAACCTCCCCAATTTTGGATCCAAAAGAACAGAATATTGAGTTTACTACAGTTTATGATGTTTTGGTGAGCAATCTGCTTATTCATTACTTACAAACGGTGAGAATTTGATTTATTTATAGCGCTAATCAAATAAGAAAATTTTTAGAACGGAGTCGTAATTGAAATGTACCGCCCGGCAAGTGACTGTTATAAGCTACTTGCCGCTGCAACAATCTCATTAATTCCATTGTTTGAGGATAACGTTGTTCGCAAATTCTGTTCAGAGATTGTTATGAAATCAGTAGATTCTGGAGTAGACATGTGCACGTTGAGATACGAAATCGAAGTTTCTCAACCGATTTCAGAAAGCTTCAAGAAATTCAAGGTAAATATTGCTTTTGAGTACGGGACAATCTAAACGGAGGAATTTCAGAAAAGTGAAACTGCTAGAAACATGATGCCAATAAAATTAGAATCCAATGAAGAAGATGAGAATAATTTTGAGCCATTGACTATTATGGTAAATAGGCTAGTTGGATTGGATTCTCTCGGTAAAGACGGATCATCTGAATTCTGTATCGTCTACGAATTCCTCTCATTCTCGCCATACTTCACTGATTTCTCAACAAGTCCGGAGATCAGATCAAAAAGAGATTGCTTTATTCCGAAGAACGATATAGCAAGAAACTTGTTTGCCAGTTCGGTCAGTCGTTTTTGAAGACACTCCCATAATCAGTTCTTTTCCAGAGCATTTCATTCTTCCTCATCGAGAATATCCCAAAGCAGGATGGAGTAATCGCCACTTTGCATTTGCCATTACACCCACTTTGCAAACTCGGTGGATCAATAAAAGGAACTTTCCCGATGCTTGACACCGATGGGCGTCCAAGTTCCGTATATCTTGATCTTTGTCTGATATGGAAACATGAGATTCCGTCGTTCTTCTTAAAACCAGAGCCAGGAAAGCTTGTGGAGAATACACCCGTTAAAGACACTCCGATTCTGCCGCAGCCAGTCCGACGATCGTCAAAACAATTTGACGTGACACCAGTGGCAGACGATGAGCCGATTCTTCGGGAAGAGATTCCAGACCCTCCAGCACCTTCTGTAGCTCAAATACTTTCGAATAGAAAAGACTCTACATCTTCTACAGACACTTCATTTTCCAGCAATTCGAAGGATATGTTCAGTCCGCCAGTGGCAAAGGTAAAGATGCAGAGTCAATCGGAGTATAACCGTTGATTTTCAGATCACACCTCAAGTGTTCGACTATGAGCTTCCTTCATCTGATCCTCCTCCATTAGCTCCAGCTTTAGAGCATGAGGAAGAAGATCGAATTGTTTTCGAAGATGATGATGAGTGAGTTTTTGACAAGACGTCTGAAATGTGTCACAAAATTTTTTTTCAGAATCGAATCCGTGTCTGCAGTATCGTCACATCGAGATTCAGAACCTCCCCTTTTCCCCGATGATCCTACTCCACCTCCTCCAATGGAAGAAGTTCCAGAGATCCAACCAGAGACCACGAAAGAAGAAAAGGAACTGACACCAAGGGCGGAAAGTCTAGAAATACCCAAAGACATTACTCCTCGTATGGAAAACGTTCCTCCATTAGTAGGCAACGATCAAGAACCTCAAGTTCATGAAAGTGTAGAATCCACTCCAATTACTCAGCGATCAGTGGAAGAAGTAGTTGGAGAGCCTGAGCAAAAAGAGCGAGAGCCTGACGAAATTCCAAGAAGAGAGCTAAAAACAGAAGAGTTGAAAAGTCTACTCGGAGTCCTTCCTCCGATTGCCAAACCTAGAAATATTCCTGTCGGACCATTGTCTTTAAATGATCCTCCAGCAGCCCCTTCACGATCTATTAATCCGACTGGTAGAATTGTTTTCGGTGATCCCCTTCACTATTCATTCCCTCGTAAGTTAAAATAAAATGTATTTCAATTCCTAATTTTTTGAATTTTCAGCTTCTGACTCCTCATCGACATCATCGCCACGCCAAAAAGCACCTGTCCCTTTGCCGGAATACGAAGGACCGAGTTTGGTGAAAGTGCGGAAACCTCTATCACCAACGGACAAAGATGTACTTGAGCCTGAAATGAAAGTATCAATACAGCTGGAATCATTCGAACTACTTCCCGGTTCAAGTCTGATTCCGTGGACTCGAGAGGATACAAAGTGTTTTGTAGACTGGGTGTTTTTGGATTTTCCTAATGAGCAATCCAAAAGTTCCGTGTTCAACTTTCCCAGAAGATCACAGGAAAGTGTGGAACTGGATTTCGTGAAAGGTAATGTAGGTGATCGGAGTTGATCTGTCCAATTTATTGGGTTACTGTAATTATAAAAATAGCAGCTATTCGAAAATAAAAACGATAGGGGAAAATATGCGAAAAAGAAGAGGATTACTGTAGATGGAAAATATTCAAAAATGGAATAGATTACTGTAGAGGAAAAATAATAAGCAATGGAAAAGATTACTGTAAGGTTTTATAAGAGATATACAATCTTAGGCTTATTGGTCAAAGAAAAACTAAAAACAAAAAACTTGGACTGGAATATTTCTATAGGAAATTGAAGAATGTGTCTTTTTTAGTCTTTCTGAAACGTTTCTGGCCGTGATTTCGGATCTATATTTGCCAGGTCCGCAAAAAATATAACAAACTATATAAATTTCAGAATTATAGTTTTTTATACAACCATCGAGCCCCGAAATTGTTTCTGCTTGAGGATGTATATGACCTCAAATTTACAATTTCACAGAATACACTCTGACACGAGGACAACTCTCCCTGCTTGATCAATGGATTAAAAACAGCATCAAGTTCGAGCTAACACTTGTTAAAGTCAGCCCCGGTGATGAGGAAGAACTGGGATTCGGGAGCATCTTTTTGGGGTCCAACAACTCTCAAACCAAGTCTATTGCTATTGAATGTGCGGTGATTTTCTTAGAATTATTAAATTTTTATTGTTTCAGTGTATGATCGAAATACAAGTCCACAAGCAGAGCTGACCGTGACTGTGGAGTTTTCAAGAGCATTGCTTCAGCAATTGAATCGATAGCCTTATTTTTTTTTACTTTCTGATTACTTTCTGATTAATTTTCGATACAGGTTTAAACGATAAGTCACAATTTTCTTTATTCAATTCTTGACAATTTCACAATTCAATAATTTTTTTTTTGTTTTTCTATAAACATGTTAACTGATCAACATCCAAAATCAGAAAGGATCCTCAAACATTTGCTCTTGCTCTTTCGGCTCATTCGAAGCTGCTGTGTTTTCGATTTCACTTTGTTTCTCCTGAAAAAGTTCAAATTATGGTATCATACTAGTAATTATCTATTTCAATTTACCGCCACTTTCTTCTTTTTCCTTTCAGAGATCTCGACATGTTGATGTGGTGCGAGAGCCTTTGTTGTCTGAGCACTCTTCTGTTTGGCTCTTTCCAGTTCGAATGAATCAGTCATTTGACTAATTACTATGTTTAGGAACTTCTTCCAAACGTCGGCAATTTGAGATGTCGTGTAGTTTTGAGCGAATCGAACTTTCTTTTGTTCTTTTCCTTCCGCTGGTGGAAGTTCCTAAAAGATAATGATTATGACATTACGTCTTCTGAATTTCCGACTCACTTGTTCACCCGTTAAATATGGAATCAACCGCTCGATGAATACATTTATCACTACTTCGAAATAGTTCTTCTCCATCTGATTCTGATTTTGTTCCAAGAATCTTAAAAAACACATTTTGTCATTTTGTTTCCGCTTTTTGTTCTGTCGTCTGACGTGTTTTCAGAAGACGTGCACCTGCCTACACAAGCCAGCCACAACTAACCCTTGTTTAACATGACTCCGTCCCGTTTTTCGAACCATTTGCCAAGCTCCTGTTAGATTTTCAGATGTGCCCAGCATTGATGTTAGCTTAAAAATAATGTAGTTTGGTTAAATGCATTTGATAAACAAAATTCGTCTATATAATTTAGAAAAATATGACGAATAAGCTCACAACTAACCTGCTCCATGAATTCATAAAATCTCAAAATGTGTCCCCCGAATTTGGGCATTTTCAGCATTGCTGCTCGTGGAGCCCGATCGACTCCAAAAACTTTCTTCAGATCCGGTTCGATATCATTGACAATATCCAGGAAAATGAGGCCAACGATGTCTTTCGGCTCTTCCAAACGCTGCCAAGTTTCTCTCAGAAGTGTGCGATCCTTCTTGTTCAGATTAGTGTCGAATGGATTTTCAGATTCATTTCCAACCCACGACGCACCGACTTGCTGGAACATTCTAAATTTTTTTGACTTCAAATTCAATTTGAATACAAACCGTTTTCTTCTTCTTCGGAGCACAGAGAGTGGCACCCATTTGAGAAAAATATGTAATCAGAAATGTACGAAAAATCTATATGTGAGATGGACGACAGTCAGTTCTCATCACCTGCTTCGAGTGGATTCTGAAGAAAAAGTGGGAAGTCTCAAACGTTCTGAAAGAAGAGAAAAACTAGAGAGGAGATGGAAAAGAATCGAAAGAAAGAAAAAAGAGAAAACCGGAAATTGTAAAATAAATGAGAAGTAGGGTTGTGCTATGAGACATAGTAAAGGCCAATTGAATGAGCTCCAATTATGACGAAAAAAAGAAGAAAAAAGAGCAAAAAGGGAGAGGATTGGATTGGATTGGTGGTAGTAAAACTAGGTTTATTTGATGACGCTGTTTGGAGAAAAAAGGGAACATGGGTTCAAGATTTCAAAGGTATGAATAAGAGTAAATGATTGCGGAGAAAAAATACGAAGAAGAAGAAGGAGAAGAAGTAAAAAAAAAGCAGAAGGATTTTTGAGGGAGAAGGAGAAGGAGAAGAAGAAGAAAGGTAGTGGTAAAAAAAGGGACAAAACTGGAAATTATAGTTGTTCGACACGATAAATGGAAAGAGAGAAGTAGAAGACGGAGATATAGTTGAACTATTGGATATCTCAGAATTCTGGCTAATTGTAGTTCATATGGAAACAGATGTATAATCGATTCTGTTCTACCTTTCTTTAGTGAAAGTTCAAGAGCATAAAAACATAAAGTTCGTCATAATAAAATGAACCCAAGTTTCTCACGTTCCAGAAATATAATTATTATCAACAAAACTTTTTTCCAAAACAAAGAACATCCAAAAGTCACAAAAAATCTAACAATCAAAAAACGATACATCTGAAAAAAATACAAAACCAATAACTATATCTATGAGTCAATTTGAACACTTCACATTTAAAAAAATCAGGACTCCATTCATCGTAATTTTTCGTAAGTTCTCTAGAAGTTCCGTGTTTTGTGTTCAAATAATTTTGGGCTTCAAGCTCAACGGAGCCTTAATTTTGTATATTTGAAAGTGAAATTTCAAAAGTGAAATGGCTAGTCATGCTTCTGGTTGTGTATGTAGATTCGTTGTACTTGGTAGTTGTACTTTTGCTGAAAATTTTGTGACTAAAGTAATGAGGAAGTTTGAAATTAGAAGTTAAATTTCTTGTTTATTCTAAAATGGTACTGCAAGAAGAGTGTTTTCCGGAATACCATGAAACCTATAATACATAGAAGGGCCCTCTAACCCAACATTATCAAGTTTGGTCTTAATCTCGAATTCTGGGCAAGATATCAAAAATGTGTCAAATGGCAAAAAATTTCAGATATTATGATAAACAATTTATCAGTTGACAACTTTTTTTCATATCTTTGACAGGAACCGAGTTAAATCGGCTCAAAGTAAATAGTTAGGAATAGGGTTGTTGCTGGCCGCCAGTGCCAGAGCTATGGGCCTTTCAATTTGATTTGCATTAAAAGCCAGCGAAATTTTAAAGCAGACAATATTTGCCTCTTTAATATTTAAACCGGCGTCAAACGCCGCTTTATTTTTGAGAATAGAATTTGCCTTTTGATTCACTAATATCTCCTCACTGTAGCTTCAATCTTAATTATCTCAGTTCTTATAAAAGATAGCAGAAAACTGTCAACTGATAAAATTAGAAAACATTTAGAAAACATTAGAAAACATTTTGGCAGTTGACAGTTTTGTCATATGTTTCACAAGAAGTCAGATAATTGAGGTTAAAGAGAGAGAATGGGAATTATAAAATGTTGGAACGAATTTGGTATTTGAGAAGTTACCACTAGTCTTCCATTAATAGTTATTGTGATTATGTCTGGATCGAGAATTCAGGTTTCGAAAAACTCCGAAGTTTAGTGATCTTGACATTTAAATTTCAAAAATTTAGGAATAAAAACATTTTTGATCGTTCAAAAATGTATAGCATGACAGTACAGAAACTCCAAAAATAGTTTTTGAAAAACGATGAAAATACTGAAATTTCCAGGAAATTCAAAAATTCTTGAATCCTGAAAATTCGAAGTTCGGAAATGTTCAGGAAAGTGTAGAGTTTCATGAAATTCATGAGTTTTCAAAATCACACAAACCATAGACTTTTTAAAATTCAGAAGTTCTGAAATTTCGGAAAACATTTTTCAAAAGCTTCAGACACCAGATTTTCAGAATTTCAAACAAAATTCCAGAAGTAATAAATATTTCGAAGGACAAAAAATATCAATTTCATTCCATTTGACTGTTTCGGATCGATCATCTGTTGTTTTTTTTTCAATCTTTTCTCTATGAAGTATTTTCTATTGAAAAATTCATCTTTTAAAAACCCGTCGTTTGATGCCTGTGAAAACTTTTGCTGGCGATTCACGCCGCTTTAAAAACTGGCACTGGCGGCCAGTGCAAAAATTAAAAGCGGCGTGTGGCGCCAGAAAACGCCGTTTTGGCCAGCCTAGTTAGGAAGCCCTTCTATCACAAGTTTTACGGTATTTACCGAACTTCAAGGCTGTGAATATATGAAGATTTTATAGGCTTGTTGTTTTGACAACATCGAGTTTTGGAACTAAATTTTGTAGAGAAGAAATGTAAAGGTCATGTGTGTGACGTGTTGAAACTACAACTTTCAATCCTCTCGTGATCCCACGAAATCAGTGTAGCAGAAAGCTTGCAAATTTTTTCACGATACAATTAGATAACTTTCCAATTCAAAGTACATTGAAATTTCCTAGATTTCAAGATTTATGATAACTTGAAAATGGGTGAACAGTTGATCCCAAAATCAAAACAATGTTGGACATCGCGTTTTCCAATGTCTCATCAACTCCAGAAAAAAAAGTGTTATAAAAGCTAACGAAAGTCTTACCGGGGAAAAAAAAAGGATATGAGGTGTTGTGTAACAAGCATATACACACACCCGAGTAGCTCCACCACTACTCTTGCTCTCGACTTGAAAAATAATTATAAATCACATTTTCGCTGTTACTTGCCAATTCGGCGGAATGCACGTCTTGTGAGAAAGTATGAGCGAAAGTGGAATATGAATATATCTAGATCAATTAAAGAAAGGTGCGAAAGCGTAGGAGTTCCTGGTTTACAGGAAAGCAACAAACAAGAAAGAGAGAACAATGGAAATAGAAGATACAGAGTTTTTTTTCCGTCGGGAATAATTTGTCGGAAACTGGGAAAACAAGAAAACTTTAACATCGATTGTCAGAAGAATCCATGATTCTAGGAAATCTGGAAGGCTGTCTGAAGACCCATTTCTGTTTTTTTTTTCTGGAAATACGTAAGAGACAATCATGGCTCACCAATCAGTTTTCCTTTTCGTTTTCTGATTAAGTTTCTGCGAGATATCAGAAATTGGCATGCATTGCATGTCTCCGAAAAATATAATCTTTTGTCTCACAACCACTACCGTAAGATTCTGATTTTAAGACACTTTCACCTGCTCAATGAGTTGGAATTGTTAACGAGTGCCTTCAAGTTTTGATCCAGAGAATCATTGTTAAGAACATATTTCAGAGAAAAACGAGACACTTTCTGATCTTGTTTTTTGGACTAGAGATTTGGGGTTCAATATAAAAGACCATGTGATTAGATTGCAGGAAAAAACAGGAAGGGGTTAGAACTCGACAAAAAGAAAAAAGAAGAGGGTAACTTCCAGAGCTCCCTTGAATTCTTGAAATTATAGTATAAAATTGAAGGTGGTGGAACATTTCACAGATTAATTAGTGTTTACTTTTGGAGTTGAAATGTTTATCTGAAATTGATAAACTGTGCATTCTGGATCCTTGAAGTTAGAAAGACATTCTAAAAAACTGTATCGAAATTTTGCTCATATTAGCGTCTCGAGGATTTGAACTTGTGGGACGAGTATTGAAGGTGTGGCTAACGACTCAGCCACGCGGGCGAAACTAGAGCGGGCGTCCGATAGCTGTAAGAGTGAACACTTTTGGCTCTATACACCGTTACGTCAGAAGGCATATCAACTCCGAAAAAAACTATGAAAAATCTCCTGACTTTAAAATGACGGACGACTGAAATTGAAAGTCTAGATTTCTCTAATAGTACAGTAACTTCCGAGTAAGTCCCGAAGAAAAAACTCGGTTTCATTACAAACATAACGCCAAAACTCCAGAACAAAACACATGCGGAACTAACATTACACCCAACAAAAGTAATGAAAGAACTGAAACTTTTCGTAAAGATCACAAGTGGATTATCATGAATCCTGAGCTCAAGAATCACCCTCTTTGATAGCTTGGATTAAAATATTGAATAGGTAGAATTAAAAGTGAAAAAGAAATGCAAAAGAATGAGCAAGTGCATTCCCTTATTCTTGCTTGACTGAACTCATGAACATATTTTCTGGTTTTTATATATTGCACTGAATTCTTGCTATCATGACTCAGTGTCACGTAATGACCCGGCTCTAATTGAATTTTGTATCACGAGCCAACAGAAAAATGAACAGGTGGAAATGGAATTCAGATGAAGAAGAAGAAAAATGAAGTCATTCGAAAAAAGACAAATCGGAGATGTAGGTGGTGTCAAACCTTGGGATTTTTAATTTAAAAGCGGAAGTGTTGATTTCTTGAACAGGTGAATGAAGGGTGTGTATGGAGGTGTAAAAATAGGAAATATCACGATTTTCACACTCGGAAATCAACCAGAATATTTCCATTCTCTCACGAGCTCTTTGCTCCGTTTTCTTCGTCTTTTTTCATTTTGCTTCTTACTTTGACACCTCTGATTTGAGTTTCCTTGACAACAGAATTTTCCAATGAATATGTAAAATAAGAGAAAGAGAAATTGAAGGGAGACTAACAATTGGACAAGGGCAAATTTAGTCAGTATTCAATTTGGAAAATTACTGAAAATGGATGATATCAGAATGGTTCTGAATTTCAAACATTGTACTTCTTCTACGTCACACAAACTACATCTCCGGAAAAAAAAGAGAATTCAGTTGAGAAAACACTACAGATTCTAAAAATAAATCAAAAATCTTCAA